TCACTTTCTCTCACTCTAAACATATCTACTGATTTCTCCTCAACACAAACAAAAGCTATCTCGACGTCGCTCTCGTCATTCTCATCGGTCTCGGAAGATTCTTCAACATGGTGAGATTTATCACCTTTTCTGTACTTATAGTTCTTCTTAGTACCCGTGCAGTTTCTAGCAATGTGGTACTTCTCTTTGCACTTCCTGCATACTGTTTTACAGTCCTTTGTGTTATGACTGCGCAATGTACACTTTTCACAGTACATTTCTCCTCTTGGTTTTAAACTACTTTCTTTTCTGAAATGCTTTGATTTCCTATCCGAAACCTTATTCACAGTTCCAGTAGTTCCACTGTTTCTGACAGTAACACTATTTTTCGACATATATTGAGCTTCTTCCACAGATTTCTCTAAAGTTGCTACATGCTCTCTCGCTGTTGCTAATGTTAAATCTGTTTTCTTCAGGAGTTTCGTTTTCACGCTTTCATCACACAGTCCAGCTATGAATTGGTCCAGCATTCTCGATTCCAACTCGTTCTCAAATTCACAGTCCATGGCAGTTTCGGTTAGTCTTTCGACGTATTCTGCCACACGCTCTCCTTTCACTTGAAAGATTCGGGTGAAGGCGTATCGTTGAGCGAACTTGGTTGGTTTTGGTGAGTAATGGTTACAAAGTTTCTGTTTTATTACTTTGTACTCCGTTGTGGTTATATCCTCTGGTTTTGCGAAGTGGTACGCTTTTTTGAACATTGCTGCGTCCATCGATACTATCAACATCTGAGTCCACTGTAGCTGTACATTCCGGTCGTTTCTCCTGTCTCGCTCTGTAGTCCAGGCGGTTCTTGCCTCTACATCTGCGTTCAGGTTCTCCGGTACAACTTCAATTACTGGCTCTACGATGCATCGTTGATGATTAACGAACACTTCGAATTGGGTGAACCACAACCTGATGTTGGATCCGATGTTGGTGGTCAATTTCTGGTCATACATCCGCGTCGCCATTGTTATGATTTGATATTCTATCTATAATTCGTGAGTTCTTCAGAGAATTGATACACTTGTTATAACTTGGACTTGAATCCTAGGCTAAGGATAGAAATGGTTAATAATCATTATATTGCATAATATTACAATTCACAACACTCACATTAATCAAAACTTGAGCTTATTCGTGGCAAAATTAAGCTCACACCAATCAAGTGTATCATGCTTGAATTGCAATTCTTGTAAAGCAATTTTCAATGTATTCTTAAACCCGTTTGTCGGAGTATTAAAACTTATCTTACTTGATGTTTGTTGACAGCTGTTCCACATGTAGGATGATTGGTAGATGAATTGTGAGGATGGTTGTGATGTGATGAAATAATCCTCTCGTCGTGGTGACCTGTTGAATGATGAGTACAGTGATAATGGTTCCTCTAACTTATTAATTTTGAATAGTTCTAAGAGACAAGTGTACTTATACAGGTTGTGAACAGTTAACAATTTCTGATTCTTAAACAAGGGCTTAGAGTGTTCTTTTTTGTAAAAGTCCACACCTAGTCTTTGCTCACCAAATGGTCGTGTCCGGGCACAAGTTCTAAATTTTTCTAAGTATATAGAGTATATGGAACAAATATTTTACAAGTATCACCCAGGAAAAGTTACCGGCTGGTGGTGGTACTAGAGTTGGTTTAATTTAAACAGACGGCTTGACCTCGCGCGCGACAACAAGCATGAGTTGCACGCGTGGCGTATTCCAATGTTCAGGCAGCTACCACGTGACACAATTCAGCCAACCAGAGTACAGGAACCCGCAAAGTTAAAGTTGCAAACTTTTGATCGGCCCGAAAGGGGACTTTTCTGGAGATTTTGAGATAACTCAACAATTACGTTGTCTTGAATTTTCCTCCTGGAGAGGTAACGTTACTTTTTAACGGGCGATACTCGTTAAATATCTGTTCCATATATTGGACCGTCGACGAGTCCAACTCGGCGCGCGTCCTGGTAGGTTGTAAACCTACAACGTTACTTTTAAAAGAGGAACATGTTACAAAAAACCGAAAAGTCTCCAACTCTTTTACTTTCAAAGTTAAGCCCCATCCGGTCAGGGTTCCTGGGCACCCGTTAATCTAATCACTGATCACATAATTTAATGTTAAAATTGCCCAGAAAACCTTATTGCCTGCTGGGCTCGCTAGAGGTGATAGATTTTCAACAGCACGTTTGTCGTCGCGCGTCACGTCAAGTTTACCTTTCGCACGCTACATTTAGCCTCGTAGTCCATAGTCATGATTGACGGATGTTACTCGTCTAAATTTCTTCGAAGTAGCGCGCGCCCCTTTCTTCTCGAAATGGCACGAGCTACGAAGTAGCGCGCGCCGGGCCAAATCATTAACAATGGTCAAAGTCATGACAACGACATCACTTTGCAAAGTTTAAAAGCTGTGATCGTTTATTTAGCCCAAAATCAAACTTTTCGGTTTAATTCAGAATCTAAGTTGTACCAAATTTGGCTCCTGGGGAGCAAACTTTAAATTTACGAAACGGAAATTTTGTTGAAAACCGGAAGGTTCTATTTATTTTACTTTTGGAGATATACACTAGTCGGTAGGGTTTGCTGGGTGAATTTAAAATTTAATGATTAATGATTTGGAGGACTTCACCGCTTCGACGCGCCGCGCAAACTACAATCCTGTGTAATCCTGTGTAATCCAATGGGTTGAAATCATCAATCAAATTAACGATGTGTTAATAAAAAATTAAATTCAAGTGCACTGCGCCGCGCACTATTTTATTTTAAATAGATGTAGTTTTACCTGAGGACCCCAGGCTTTAATGTTGGTAAACATAAAGATTAGGCGGAATGACAGGCTGAGCGCGGCCCAGTAAATGTAGTTCAGAATCGAGCGCTAAAACTGAAAAATACGATTATAAACTCTGGAGTGTGGAAGGGGAGGGGAGTTTTAAAATTCATGTATAATCCGTTTCCATTTTTACACATTTTTTCAAAAATCGTATTTTCTCAACATACTGGTTTAGGCAGGATCTGATGAAGTGTTATTTTAAGTGAAGAATCATGTTGGTTGAGATAGCTCTACGATTAGTGCTTATCTGGGGTTCCGTGTTCATTTACTCATCTCAGCACCCTAAAAGAAGTCCCAGGGCTCGAGCAAAGAAGCGTGATATTTGCCCGTAAGAGCCTCTACTACATTAATATAATAGCTTTAGTTTAATTGTTAAAGCTATAGTTGAATTATAATAGCAAACAGTTAAAGTTGAATCGTGATTTTATATTAATGGTACCATCAAAGTGGGCAATGACATAATTTGATAAAATCATATTTATGCTATTGTTTATTATCGTCGTTTTTGGAAAAGTGGTAAATTTTAGGCCGATCTTTGCAGATCTCACATAGAATTTTCGTTGCATGGGAAACGCTTCCAAAGCAATTAATTCATGGCTTATTCCAACTTCTAACATCCTTGTAAGCCGTTATTTGATGAAATAAGTTCTACAATTACTTCCACAATTTACAATACCCCAGCATCACCCAAAATGTGATGATTCACTCACATTTAAAGACACATGTCCAAATTCTTACCAAATTAGGATTCAGTGCTCAATTATGCTAAAATTCTATATAATGTATCTTGATTTAATCTGGAGTTCTGATCATCATCATCATGTCAATAACTATTCTTCACAGGTTATAATCACCATGGGGATCAAAGAAGTCATTCTAAGTTTGAGTGAACTGTTATCTCATTTTGGTCTCCCTCTTCATCCAGAGACACTAAGATTAAGCAAGTTTAATGATCCGAAAGCATTGAAAAGCATGCAGACTTTTTTAATTAATGTTACCAATTTTATTTCAAAGAACACACGATCTAATCCTCCTGAAACCGAAACATCAGACGATTTGATTGAAGTAGCAAAACTCATTGGATTTTCACATTGGATGTCTTTAGCTACCAGCTCTTATGCTTGCTTAATGTTACTGGTTTGGTACATCGAAAAGATAAAGCTTCTCCCTTTGCTTGAACAGCTGATTTACAGCCGACTAAGAGCAGCTCTAAATGGTCAAATAAATGCGTCTTCTTGTGTAAATTCAGTGAATGAGAATGATGATATTTATGAAAGAATGCAACAAAATCATTTCCAGAAGTTGAAATTACATCGTTTGATCAGGGAATTCTGTATGACAATAATGAAAGACAACATTTCTAAAGATAAAGGTTTTGTTGGACTGAAAATTCCATCCTCAGAAATAACTGGCTCTACTGCCTTAGATGTATTTGTGACAAATAATGATAACATTACCGATCAGTTGAGTGAAATGGACAAAATAATCATAATGTCAGAATGTTTATCAAAGTTCAAATCAGATTACCATGTGTTCAACAAATGGATTACTTCAGTTGACTATGGTTTGGAGAAGGATTCACCAAGTCTCGAAACAGAACTTTTAACAAGCATCATTGACTTGCAAGCTCAGATTGAAATGAGTACGGAAAACAAAGAGTTCAGTTTAAGTGATTGTTTGTTTGTCAGAAGTGCAAATAATAAGCACAACAACATAAATTTGACCAACCGGGCTATGGAAGCTGCTTTATTTGAGGTCGAAGAGAAAATTGCTCAACAAAAAGCAATTATTCTTGATCTTGTTGAAGGTAGTAATGTAGATATCGGATGATACACATATTTTATTGAGAAATTATTCGATATTCAATTTTTAAAGTTTTTTTAAAGATACTGCAATGGTTGTGTATCAGTTGTGGTACGTACTAATTTATAATATAATGATGTATTGATCGAAATCTTTTGCATTTTAATTTAGTAAAAAAACCCAATTTACACAACTACTAAAAGAGACATTGGTGAGGTCCAGAGAAATTGCCATTTGGTCACCTGAATTCTCCCCATCCCCGTATTTCTGGAAATTTCGTTGAAACTAAGAAATAACAACTTTTATTGATATGTATATAATTAATAAGTTTATTTCAATAAATATGGCCTTAACTATTTTTAGCAGCCCAGGATGTCTGCTTCAGCGGTATTCATCCTGGACCTCAAAGGCAAGGTGAGTGAGCTGTAGACTACAGACCTCTAGTTTTTAAATCTCTTTACTTATTTTGGTAATACAAGTACCTATTTCCCTTAAATCTAACTGACCAATTGTTTACAAACTCCTGAGCACCAATTAACATACTATTTGTACAGGTATTGATATCACGAAACTACAGAGGTGATATCCCTATGTCAGAGATAGATCACTTCATGCCACTCATCACTGAGGTATGTGGTAATTAGAACTAGTTTCATGTTCATTAACTTGACCTTGCTTAATTAGCCGGTCCCTTACTGTTTTTACAAACACCGACCTCGTATTACGACTGAATTTGAAGATCTGTACAGTGTACTCAGTACTGAACCTACCAAACCTGGTAATCCTGGTTATAGTGGTATTATCCTGGTAATAGAGCTAGCAATAGCTTTTGCTAGTATGTGAGCGATTTCTGTGTTAATAATGTTACAACGAATCCAATTGTGGTGTTTTTCAATCCTTGCAAAGTTGCCTCATCTCGATGTGAAACATTTTCCGCGTTGTTGACTTGCTCAATAATTAGATATGATATTTATCCCAATATTCCTTTTATTGAATTAAAAGTTTAACTTTTGCTGATAACATTTATATGCCTTCAAGATTCATAAGAAGACCGTGCCATTCTACAGTATGGTTTCTTGAGACTTCGTTAATTACATTATGAGTAGATGTGGATTCTGGCGGGGATGTGATACATATTTTTAGACACGTGTCAATATGTCTCACCTCCCACCAAAATCATATCTATAAACGTCACACAAGCATTAAAAATACGCTTCGCCGATAGGTCGAAGAGGAGGGAACAGTAAGTCCAATCCTCCGTCACGAGAAAACCACATTCGCGTACATCAAATACAGCAACCTGTACATTGTGGCTATGACGAGGACTAACGCAAACATTGCTCTGATATTCGTGTATCTGTACAGAATGGTTCAGGTATGATGTCCATAAATTGTCTAACTTTTTAAATCATTGATTAACAGCAAATATTTTTTTCTTAAATCATAATCAGATTTGGGGGACGGCTTTTAGAAACTTACTCGAAATTTGAAGCACTGAGTATTTATTTAAAATTTAGATAAAACCAACGATTACCTAGTACCCAGAATATTGCATCTCCAGCACGGGTTACAATGATAAATACACAGTTCCCTTGTTATTAATACAAACTCATGAGACATGCACTGCACTTGCCAGGCGTTTACGGAGTATTTCAAAGAAGTTGAGGAGGAAAGTATCAGGGATAACTTTGTGATTGTGTACGAGTTGCTGGACGAGTTCATGGACTTTGGTTATCCTCAAACAACAGACCCTAAAGTTCTTCAAGAGTATGTTTCTGTTGAATAACTATGTTCTATTTTTACCTAACTATGTTCTATTTTTACTCTTGTTCATAAAAATTCATGATCTTAAATCAAATCAAATAAAATAGTAATGACACAAACATTATCACACGTAATCATAAATATTTCTACAAGAATTTATTGAAATGCCAAACGGCTTATGTTATAACCTTGAAAGCTTCAATAAGATCACCACGTATACATTACGCCGCTCTTATGACACTGTTTTAATCCTTACATGCATTTAATTGTGGTACTACCTTAGCAGTTAAAATCAATTGCTAAGTTATTAAACAAGTAAACTGTAATATTGAACAGTGTTAAGATACTCCCTCAATGCAGGTTGCTAAGTTATTAAACAAGTAAACTGTAATAGTGAACAGTGTTATGATACCCCCTCAATGCAGGTTGCTAAGTTATTAAACAAGTAAACTGTAATAGTGAACAGTGTTATGAACTCATACCCCGCCCTCAACGCAGGTTTATCACACAAGATGCCCACAAAATGGAAGTAGCCCCGCGGCCCCCACCGACTGTTACCAACGCCGTGTCCTGGCGACCTGAGGGAATCAAATATCGTAAAAATGAAGTCTTCCTGGATGTTGTTGAGAGCATTAACCTACTGGTGAGACATTTTATTATCAGTTTTAGCATCAATATTAACTTTCTGTTCCTACTGTTCTCACTGTTCAAATCAAGCTAAAGATGTAAAGCTTCTATTGTGGTTATTAATGCCTCATTGAATGCGAGTTATTGAAATTTGGGAAATTTATCTTAGAATTCAGCCACGTGTTTCATCGTGTCCCCCTTACAACACATCAAACACTTCAGGTATCAGCCAAAGGGAACGTTCTACAAAGTGAAATTGTGGGATCTGTGAAAATGAAAGTCATGCTGAGTGGCATGCCTGAGCTGCGGCTAGGTTTGAACGATAAGATACTGTTCGAAAGTACTGGAAGGAGCAAAAGTAAAGCAGTGGAGTTGGAAGATGTCAAGTTTCATCAGTGTGTCAGATTGTCCAGGTTAATTAAATGTGAACCAACCCATTTTGTATGTTTATCACAAGACATAAAATCAATATTTAATTCTCCATGCTGTGTCTTGAATGCCGGCCCACCTATTGGTCTTGATTTCACAATCGAATGTCATCCAGGTTTGAAAACGATCGTACAATATCGTTTGTGCCTCCTGACGGCGAATTTGAGTTGATGAGCTACAGGCTGAATACGCAGTCTAAACCTCTGATGCTGATAGAAAGTGTCATTGAGCGTCATTCTCACAGCAGAGTTGAATACATGATTAAGGTAAGTGCGACAGAAAATAACGTTTTGTTAAATCGAATGAAACTATGCACATCTTGATGTACTTAATTTATTGTAAATGCATAGTATGTGAACGTTTATGTTCTCAAACGTTAATATAGTATACTCATGTTCTCATTTGAAAGGTGCATGTACGCACTATCGGAAGGGTCTTCTTGACAATTTTGCGGAACACGCGAAATGATTACATACATCGAAAATAACAAATGTTACCATTTGATTTGCGCGTCTAGAGCCGCGCACGTCACGCACTCTATTTAATTGACCACTAAACGTATTAGCTAGACTCATTACACAATTAGTGATTTTAACTATTGTAGTCAAATTCGGGAAAGAAACTGAAAGAATTTTCGATTTTTGCCGAGTCAATAGTGTTTAAATGCTAAAAGCCTTAACAAGAGACTTAAAACTGCCGGGAAGTAGATTAAGATGCACGACTTAGTTAGGTATAACTGAAAGCCGCATAACGCGAGGGAGGACGGTGCATTTTTGGCACTATCAAAGAAGCCCGTTATTATCACGGCTCACGCCGGACGTTAAACAGTTCCACAGAATTCAACACCAACTCTAAATATAACTTTTACTCTAAGATTCCACCGTTGTGTGTTTCTGTGGAATACTACGAAGGTGTTTTGGTTATAAAATAGGTCAGCATTTTACTCCGCGTTATCACGGGATTTATATCGTGTTTTAAACATTACTGGTTAAGGTTTCTCAAGAATTTTTACGAAATTATGGATCTGGAAGTAAAATTAAATACTTACGCTTAATGTACAAAATCAAAATAAAATTTTAGAAAACTTACAGTCTTGTGTCGAAAGACGAATATGATTTGAAGCTCATTAAAAATACCAAAATCTTAGCGAATCAAGAATCCAAAAACTCAACAAAACTCTCTTCACATAACAGAGGTTTATTCAAAACTAATTCTGCTAGCCTCTATTTTGGGCTTTTCACTAAATTCCAACAACATTTTACCAACTTTGTCACACAAAAGTTCCCGTTTATCTCCTTTTAGACCAAATATCATCAAATTCCGACTTCAGTCTCCTTCTGCCACAAATTGATGGCAATAAACCAATCAGCTTACACTCTTGACCTTTGACCAATCAAACCCAAGAATCACTGTCACTTGTCAAATAAAATATGCTCCACACCAGAAACCACATCTCTCGGGACTGCGATTGGTTGAATTCCAGCATTTGGTGGCCGTAGCCCACTTTTAGATCAGTTTTCCTGCTCAATCTCCAGACAATCCCCTAGAAAAGTTGGAAGGAATAATTACTCTGGAGAACCTTGAAGCTGCTTTAACAATCTCAGTTTGAGACAGATTCTCCATTACTCTAGGATTAGTACAGTAGTAAATAACAGAGTCGCATAGTGGGGAGATATAGAATAGAGTCACGGTAAAGAACTGAGCCTCTTTATACTCCATGTGAACGTTCATGTAGAGTAGAGTCTGTGGGATTGCTATCAGGACTCCAGAAGCGCAGATAGACAGGGACGTAAGGAGTAGCTTCCTAAACTTGATATTCATTCTGATAACTTGTACTAGCAGGACGGTGTAGACTGCTACTAGAGTTATGATCGGGACGAAGTAGAGGATGATAGCCTCCATTTGTCCGGTGCTTTGGTGGTCGAAGGTACAGCGATGGTATTCTGGCTGGTAGCTTATCTGAAGATTATTGGAATGTGATTTTTTGTCATTTTAAAGTCATAATAGACTATTTCGGGCATAACTCTAGATATTTTTTGGGTTTTCTTCAATCAAGAAACAAGCTGAAAACATGCAATTAAGGGTGATTTGTAATCTTCCCACCTTAGCTAATCCACGTTGGTACTGAACCAGATGGTACAGAGTAAAAGAGAGAGAAGGGAACCACCACAGCCCTATCATCAGAAATATTATCTTGTGGGACATCCACTTTCTGTGCATGAAAGGAAACATAATCACCAGGACCCTGTCTATTGTTAGAGGCATTAACACTGTCATGGGGCTGTTCCTGAGAGAAAGAGATATCCAGAGCCGTACTTTATAGAATGAATTTACAAATATTTCCCGTGTTTCCTCAATAGTCTTTGTTATTCATATTCATTTTCTCATTTTGATAACTTTATTGAGAAAATGGGGTTGGATACTGACAACCATTCATTAAATTAACAGGAAAACTAAGAAAAATGTAAAGGATGTAACCTTGTTAAGGTATCTATTCTCTCACCAAAAAAGTTGGCCGACAAGCGAGAAAACGAAGCAGAAATAATTCTCCTGTCCATCGGTATTCACGCCAACAAACATCTTGTTGATTATACCCAGACCTCTGATGAAGCCTATGATTGCCACAATAGTATCGTAAAACAGCACGTTTATCACAAACATGTTCTGAGGAATTTATATCAGCTCTAGTGTTGTATAAAGTAGTCATTTTGTATTATAAAACAAGTTATATAAACTTATATTAATGAAGTTTTGTCATCTTCAACCGGGTTGGCCTCTGTTATAATAATAACACAATACAGCCACCCGCCCCCCCCCGGCCCCCCGGCCCCCCCTTACCTGAGTCCCATGAAGTCTGATGACAAAGAATATGATGCAGTAAATCACCCAAACGCAGATCACCAGACCAATAAGGCTCATTAGCGAGAGGAAGCCACCCTGTCAGGAGAATAATACAATTTTGTAAATTTCTTAAATTTGTTGTACAAATGCAGAGAATCTTTTGTTATTAGAAAACCGAAGAGTTCGATAAATCTTCAACTTACGTTTAAAAGCCGAAACGAGCACAGATTTCCTGTTTCGTTTAGACACGAATTATAGGCTATGTCGTAGACTGCCATCACATTGCCATTCTTTACAAAGTTTGTGTCGTGTATATTATAGTTGTGAATAACATAGCAATTTAATAGCTCAAATAAACTCATACTGCAACGAGACTGCAAAACCTGTTCGAGCTTGATGTGTAGTGTGTAGTATGTTGAAGATGCAGTAAACGGAGTTTTGGATGACTCGGAGCTAGTTAATCTAAAACTGAATACAGGAGAGACTGAGTTAGTTAAAGACATTATCAAGACTATGTTAAAGAGACAACAATCTCCCTTAAGCAGAAGTGAATGTTCAGTTTATTGATAGCAAGCTGGAAGAGTCAAGAGATAGACTCGCCACTTTCTCGAACCCTTCTTGATAGGCTACGTACACGATATGTTAAGAGAAAGAACCTTAACTATCGCTGGTAACGTTCTACTCGGACCCCGGTATTCTAGCTGCAGATGTATATCAAGAATACAGAATGATCACGAAGTAAACCTTGATACGTAATTATAATTCTCTGCAGAGAAACAATAGGCATAGAGAACATTTGTCGATGAAATATCGGCTTGTTAAAGGGCAATGCCAATATTGCAATTGATTCTATAACAAAGCATTAAACAATAAAGCACTCGATAATGCTATCAAAGTTTTCTATTTTTATCTTCGAAGTTCGAATTTTACCGATATTAATTTTATTGAGGATTTGTCATGACTCAACGTTTCTGCATTTTTGGAAATTAAATTCAATTAAAGATATTGTAACTACATGAACTAATGATATTGTAACTACATGAACTATATAATGATGATGTAACAAGGTTGCATAGCATCTAAGGAGCATAGGAGCAAGTATGCAGAGTACAGACAAATATTACTTCTATTATCTTGCCAAATTTATGATTTTGAAAAAGTTATAGATTATCGTGATAAAAAAATTGTACCGATAATGGCAACTCTATTAAAAACTGAATAGTTGAGTACACGATAAACAAACAAACAAGTAAGCCATTATAAGCCACCCTGATAAGGATCTATGATTTTTTATATTATATGTCCTACAAGTGATATATGCGAACCTCTGCTTCTTCAATGGCATTAGTGCTAAGTGCTGATACACGTGCCCCGTGTCTGGCAGATCGCTATAATTACACTCATCTTGCTCGCCATTGTAAGATAACGAAGTCTGCTATACAAATATATTTACCGGTGATGTAGGCTCATTGCTCAATTATAGTATATTACATTTTGAACTGATGCAGTAAACATGACATTGAAAACGGTTTCAATGTTGTCGCCATGGTTCTTTACTATAGTCTCAATAAGTTGAAAGAATTTTCCAATTATATTATAATAATTTATAATTTTACTTTATTATAAACGTGGACCCCTGTAATAAGAGATGGAACAAAATAGCTTTATAAACTGGCAACTCGCCAACTCGCCCTTATTGTAACGACTAAAGACTAAAGACGGTGCAGCGGTGAGGTTATCCATATTTGTTTTGACACGTGGTAACGGAAATAGGTTTTGATTGGACACTCTGGAAGACGTTTATTGGTTAATCACTATCACGTATCACGTGTCAAACAATGGTTCGTCTCTCCACCGGTATCCGAATCTATCAAGTTCAACGGCGAAAATATTGATCATTCCGAAATTAAATGTAAGAACTTTCGACAAGGAAACCGACTGATATCAAACGAAAGAGAAAACGGGAAATTTTATTCGGGAAATTACATTACCGATATTTGGCAAAATACTTGAAAAAATAATTTATAATAGGTTATATAATTACCTCAGTGCTATGAACGTGATTTATGATCGACAATTTGGTTTTAGAAAACAACACTCAACATCTCATGCCGTAAACTATTCTGTCAATAAAATACTTAATGAGATTGAACAGAAAAATCATGTAATTGGAATATTTATTGATCTAAGTAAAGCATTTGACACAATTGAGCACGATAAACTCCTGCATAAACTTGAACACTATGGAGTAAGAGGTATTGCACTAAAAACTCTTGCTAGCTATCTAACAAACCGTAGCCAAGTAACTTCTTTTCAAACTGAAAAATCGGACAAGTGTTCAGTTGAGTATGGTGTACCCCAGGGGTCAGTGTTAGGACCTCTACTATTTCTGATTTATATAAATGATATTGTGAGCTCCTCAAGTTTGGCTGAATTCGTCCTGTTTGCTGATGATACAAATATTTTTGTGATAGGTCGTTCAGCACAGGAAGCTTTTGAAAAAGCTAATCATGTAATGAAACAGGTCAGTAACTATATGGAGTCTAACAAGTTACATATAAATGCAGGGAAAAGTTGTTTTATGCATTTTCAGCCAGGTTTGTCAAGAGCAACACAGACCTGTGCTAGAACACGGCCCTTTAACAGGAATCTAACGATTTCAATAGATGGCAAAAAGCTAGAAAAAGTTCAATGTACAAAATTTCTTGGGGTGATAATAGACGAACAGCTATGTTGGGAACCACATCTTAATCATTTATCTTTAAAGCTGAACTCCAGTATTGTATCGATTAAGAGAATTTGCAAATTCATTCCCAAATCTGAATATTTGAAACTATACAATGCTCTTTTTATGTCACATCTTAGCTATTGTATAAGTTGCTGGGGTGGGATCCCTAAACATAAGCTGAATAAAATCTTTGCTATTCAAAAACGATGTATACGACTGCTATTTGGTAACATTCCCAATTTTGATCATAAAGAATACTACTTAACCTGTGCACGTTCAAGAACTTATAACGAACATATGGCTAAAAAGAACTACTGTCTTGAACACACTAAACCGCTATTCACTGAGCAGAAAATTATGAACCTGGAGAATCTGCACATGTACCATACATTTATGGAGCTATTCAAAATTCTTAAATTTGATGTCCCCCAGTCGATTAAAGATCTTTTCAAGTTCTGTCCTAGAAATGAAAAACTTCGTCTGATTGTCCCATTACTGAGGTTAGATATCTCCCAACAGAACTTTTTGTACACCTCTACGAAAATATGGAATGATCTCATCCCCTATGTATTCGAAATATGTGATGCTAATGTAGATGGGATAATAATCCCGGGGTCTTCCAAAAACTCAGACTTATCAGCCTCGTCAGGTATTATTAAATCTAACCTTAAAAAGCACTTGCTATCCCTCCAAAATCGAGGTGACCCTAATATATGGTAACTAATCTATATTATATCTCAAACTCTACATCTGGTACGGCTCTGCACACATGATATCTCTCTCTGCCATGAAACATGGCTAACCTTTCAAACTATGATTTAAAACATAAACCTAAACTAAAACTCAACTGGGCTCTCCTATGTCACCTAACTAGACCAATAAGCAATTTTAGCTTAGATAATTATATTTTTCTATATTTGTATAATAAGTATTATATTGACGTAGTGGATGGTTGAGGGGGTTTCAAGCACAGGTCACTCTCAAATCCTAAAGATAAGCAGTGGCCTTCGGCACTTGAAACCTCTTCAAACCTCCCCTGATTTATTTATTATTGATATTGTTTGATTGTGCCGTAAAAATAAATATTTGTTTTATTAAATATTTGTTTTATTAACACCGCGTGCGTGTTCAATTTTTTACTGAATAGTGAGTACCGATGATGTACAGGGTGGGCCAAAAGTCAGTACCCATACGTTGGCCTTTATAGCTCAGTCACTGAGTGCCCAATTTAAATACTTCTTTCTGGTATGACTTAGTACCACCACTGGTTCGAGGAATTTGTCAACTCGAAAAATATTCGCGTTCATTTTTTTCAAATGGAAGTTCATTTTCACATTTATTTGATAGTTTGGATAGTCGGATCAAGCTAAATGTTATTGAATTGTGTTTGGCCATTCGAATTACGTTTGTCCTGAAAGAATTAGAACGGTAGCTTCTAAGGTGACCGAGATATGAAGCATAACGAGTTTATTCATTACGTGTGATCAGGTGATTGGTTTACCTAATCACGTGATAAGGTGACCCCGTTAACTACCCCGTTAAACATTATGTGAATTGTTAAGGGTGCCCAATTAAAGTGTCGTGTCACGGTGTCACATAATCACCCAGTCAATTTTGTTAACGAGATACAGTAAATGCTTGATAACTTCGTCATTTCTAATCCGTTTTGCCTCATGTTTTCAGATCATATGCAACATTTGATAATCTACCGTCTCTGAAAATATTAGGTGTTCAGCATGTTCAGAGAAAACAATATAGGTGTTTTAATATTGAATGGGCGTGGTCTAAAATATTCGAATTTTCAAATTTTGACGACGGAATCCTCGAACCAGTAAGTACAGTATGCCATCTGCAAAGCAACAGCTCTCAAATATAAAACACGGCGGAGCTATTAAGGCCAACGTATGGGTACTGACTTTTGGCCCACCCTGTATATACTATAATATAAACTGATGTATCTTATGGTAGTACTGATGGTAGTGACATTAAGAATGGACGTCGTAAATTACAACTTATAATTGAAACAAAAGTAAGGACACAGACAAAGCATTGGTCTGTAATTACCACTTGTAACTGTGTTGCTCATGAGCGGGCGGCGACTGAGCAACTCTTTAAACCTCATGATGTGACGACTCTTCAGTCTCCTTGTTATCAAATTATTCTAGTGAACTTACACATCCTCATGATAATATTCGGTAGAGTGTTGGCTTTATTTCATCATCATTATGACGTCATGTTACATCTCAATATTTTAATGGAACAATTTAAAAGCTTTAATTCGGCAACTGGAAGCTTTTGACGTGTCTCCATATCATAATGGACCTCCAATTGATTTACGATTGGGCCTTTTATTCACTGGATGGTGAATTAGTGGATAGTGGATACTTGAGGGTTAACTAGAAAAAATTAAGTGGTTAAATAATTCAATAATATTACCATATCAATGGTGATTTTTGTACTTAGTCCTCCCACCATTTTAAATCGTTTACCTGTTCAGATTCAATATAAGAAAACACATTTGGATGCAACTTAATAGTTAATAGTGATAACAAAACCATTTCCAAGGATTAATATCAAGTAAAAGTCTAGTTAAAGAAAGTGATATTGTCAATCTCCAGAGAACCAGTGCCAGATTGTTTGTACTGTTCGTAAACTCCCCCAAAGGTCTGTATACTGATCTTGTCCACCTTGGAAAGATCCAGCGGAACTGGATTAGTCACCACCTTCCCTCGGTAGTAAGCCTTAAAGTCTGAGAACAGCAGTTTCTTTTCGGCAAACGAGTCTTTTTGGGTGATCAAGAATTTGTACTCAAAGTCGTAGTTAACGTCAGCTTGGTTAAGAACGATCTTGTAGTAATCTAATTCACCCTGTCCTCTAACATTTAGTGAGAGTCCCTGTGCGTTCTTCTGGGCGTCACTAAGAGCTGGCATGGCTGTTCTAAAGCCTGCAAAGCCCGCTCCGTTTGGTTGTGGGTTCAGCATTCCGAAGAAAACCGCCCGTTGGAAAACCTTTGTCTGTTGAAGTACGAAAGCAGCCTTGGATTTCCCCGGAACCCTAACAGTGTCGCTGACTTCTTTCCAGGCGTCCAAGTTTGGGGTGCTGGAAGAGTCCGTGAAGTCAAAGAGGGTCAGATCATCTGCTGTGAGGGGCCCTCCAAGAGTCAGGGCCAGGAGAGAGAACAGAGAAATCACAACTATCATCGCTAGGAGTGCTACTGGCTAGGTTGGATATATAATAATACAGAAGGGTTCTTTGGTCGCTAAGCTGACTCCGTTGAGATTCAGTCGAAAATTATGCATCTTAACAGGGTCAGTGGTTGCTTTTATACAATTGGTTCGACAAAAGGAGCAGCTACCTGGAACTAATCAGCTTTCAGAAATTAATGCCAACGAGATTCGCTACCCTCTCCAACGAGATTCGCTACCCTCTCCGACCGTATCGTATTATTTTTTACTTTTGCAGGGCTTCGTAAAGCCACCTACCATGAAACGAGTTTTATCTTTTATGGTTATTGCAATTGTTAGGCAGCAAGTGTTCAATGTAAAATATGATTAAAGGTTATCAGGTGGTTTAAAATTGAATGATTTCGGTTATGAAACTAATTGTGCTAAATACATTCATTCAATTAACGTCCTCCACAATCCACATGTATTCAGGATGCACATTGCACCTCACCTTCTAACACGGACGTTGGACTAACGGCCATACATTTTCAGGCTAAGAGTCAATTCAAACGCCGGTCAACAGCGAACAATGTTGAGATAATAATCCCCGTGCCTCCCGATGCTGATTCCCCGAAGTTCAAGACCACTATCGGCGCTGTGAAGTACGTACCAGAGGAGAATGCTGTTATTTGGAGCATCAAGCAATTCCCTGTGAGTACACATTTTAATGCCTTCTATTATTCGGCATTTTCTGACATTCTCAGGGTATTTTACCATTTTATATCGTTCTTAAGTTCCCGTCGAAGTGAAATTAGATCCTCATAGTCCCCATAGCCTACTGTGGATTCAACGACGTATTTCACTTGTTTAATATGTCGGTACTCACATGTAATTTTATTGATTTGACCAGACCTTCGCACTAACACATCATAAACCCTAGGGCGGTAAAGATTTCCTGATGCGAGCCCACTTTGGTCTGCCTAGTGTGGAGGCGGAGGAAGACGAAGGGAAACCTCCCATAAAAGTCAAATTTGAGATTCCTTACTTCACCGTGTCCGGAATTCAGGTTAGATTTGAGCGATTGGACGACATCTGTCCGACAGCGACATCTGTCCGACAGCCGAATTAGGGATTTCGGACAGATGCCGCTGTCGGACAGATGTCGTGTTACCGATTTGAGCCATACAAGTCTTTGTTTTTCTTCACTAGAGTAGATTTGGCAATTTCTAATTTTAAAAACGTTGTTGGTGCGCGTGTTTTAATAATTGTTTACACATCCCCTTTTCAGGTACGGTATTTGAAGATCATAGAGAAGAGTGGTTACCAGGCGTTACCCTGGGTACGGTACATCACACAGAACGGAGGTATGTGCTATCTTCACTCTTCACTGCTCATTCTCACCTTAAGCACTCGTCACGTTTTTATCTTCTTTGCTGCCATTAAAATTTCAATTGAATTAATTTTAGCACTTATATTGCTTATGTTTGAACTCTTTAAATAATGACCTCTACCTTTTCAGATTATCAATTGAGAACGTCATAAAGCATGCGACGTCAGGATAAAGTTTCCGAACTATAAATTAAACTTAGGAAAATGAACAGTTTTAATTAATAAACCAAGCTGGATCTTGGAATATTATGAGTATTGTAAAACCTAGAGGTGTTGTGTTGAAATTGGGGCGTATGTTTTCCGTTTATTATTCATTTTCATTGCAATGTTTAAGGTTTGATTTTAATTTCACGTTATCTTTGCATCTCACCGTGTCCAGTGAATCTGAAAGAAGGCAGTAAACTTAGATAAACAACTTAAATAAATAGAATTCTGGCCTGTTGGGCTGCGTTCCCCACGTTCAATTTTAAACTAAAGTTTTAATTAAAGATGGTAAAATGTTGAGTACCAGAGCACAGTAATTCTGCTGATCGTTCTGTTCTATCTTCAACTGTTAGATTTGTGATAGAGTTACTTGATATAGTGCCCTCATATTGATAGATAAGCTATAAGTTATGATTTTCTTATGTAGTGGTTTTGTAGTAGCATTAAAGCTTTTAATGGAAACGGCTTCTTAACTATGAAACGATTCCTTTTGATACTTGGGGATAGAGCTCTAGTCATTAATACCTTTTAGTTTTATTTTCATCTCATAATTAATTAAGAATATTTACTTTGAGGCCTATACAAAATTCCTTTATTTTCAGTAATTATAACAGCCAGCCGGCAAATTTCCAAAGTAAACTTAGAAGATTATCAGTAATTACTCATTCATTGAATTTGATATTTTCCGAATTTAGACTCTTCGAAGTTGAGTTGATATTAAATTACGATAATAGATCTCGTGACATGTGAATATTATATAATGTGTAGAAGTTCTACCGATTTGTCTATTATATTGTGATTTGAAATACTTGTTTGGTGCTTGAACATAAGAATTGGAACCCCAGATTAGAATTACGACGGCTGAACCATGGACATAGGAGTAGAATTGGAATAACATTTAACCTAGCTGGGCTTCTTCTCATCAATATCACGGGATTAAATTAGTATCGAATGAAATATTCATAAGAAGCAACAACAAAAAAACGAGAATCGTTAAAACATCAAAGAATCAAAATCGAGAACATAAGACTAACAGTAAGGAATAACATTATAGATTGCATCTGAAGTACATAAACATAAAAATTAAAATTCATCAAAAACTTCCAGAACAGCATTTTTTCCCGATCCATGACTCGTGCCGAAGGCACAAAAGAGTCAAGGACAAGGGTTAGCGATCGAGGTTTTTTTGTATATGGTAGCTTCGCGACCGTGCCTGCGAGCGTGCGTGCGTGCGTGCGTGCGTGCGTACATGCCTTCGAGCACTGTTATCGCCCACGTGACTACCTGCGCAAAGTTATTTTGCGTGATAATCTGAATTATATAATTGTTGGCGCTGAACCAACCAAGTACATTATTAATTTCATCATGTACGTATTATATATATATCCCACTAGGCACTAATTCACTAATTGATAGCATGTTATTATTATTTTGAGTTAGTATTACTATTTTGCACAGATCCGTGTCAGGTTGCATAAACAATAAACATATGGTTACATAGAAGTATACACGATTTTCAAATTCAATATAGATTTATATTAACTGGGCGGCGCTCGGCAGTCGGCATGTCACTTCGCCATATTTGCATGTTTATATAAACAGTAAAGACTGGGCCGTCCCCAGGTTGTATGGAATATGATAAATACGTCATCACGGATCGGGAAATTGAGCGGCCATCCACAAAAGAAAAGCGGCCGCATTTCTTGTTTCGTCTTACATTACACTCAATATTGTGAATCACCTACGTAAAGAATTAGGCGATTTGGCACAAAATATCTGCTGGCTATTTACATAACTTGCACTAGGTACGTCTGGAGTGGTCGAGTTAATATTAAGGAAGGGACTTTTGATGATGTTGTTGCGATGGAGCGCCGTGACGAGTTCATTTTCTGAGAATGCACGAGCTCGTTCGTGTGGATCCACAAACTGGTTCACGTGGAAATTTCCCCGATCTTCGGTTACATCGTCCTTCTTGTCCCACCTGCGGAGACAAGGTATTTTTGGGATACGGTCATGTGATTGCTGTACAAGAATGTGTCTTCTGCCTATCTTAAGTCTTAATTTGTTCTAAGAAGCACTGATAGTAATTTGATGCGGAATGTCAGAGGTGGACGAGTGATGTTTGGCAGTTTCACAAATGTACGGAATTCAAGCCGGCCAAGCTTCTTAGAACACGCAATCGATTATTTTACATTTATGTATAATGTAAATATACATCATTCCTTTTTATTGATTGTAAGGAACCTGTGACTAGCAGGGCTAACAAGCCCTGAAATGGTGACACCACCATAAATTCGTGTGATAGCGTTTTAGGTGCAGTCAGCTGTATAAGCCGGCCCATAAGCAGGCTGCAACCAATCAAGCGGTGCATGTGAGCCAAACAGGCCATTAACCAAGTGACGAGATCACTGACTGAGTGCTCGGATCACGTATCCGATGAGTTTTGAAATGGTCATAACTTAGCCATATTTTAACCAATGAACTTGAAACTTTGGGAAAGGTTTTCAATTATCAAGCCAAATGTGTGCAAAAAATTTTGAGTTCTTAGCTTAAAGCGTTCTCATTTTATGAAGACAATAGTGAAAAAGAGGGAGTGTCACGCCACGCCCACTGTAATTGGGCGTGGCTTACGAAACTTTCAGGAAATCTAAGTTTGACCCATATCTATAATCTCTGAAATTTTGGTGCAATTTGGAGACGAATTACGTGAGTTATTAAGAGGTTGCGTGTGGGTAGTCACTTATGGGCCACCCTGTATGTATATCAGTTATCAGATGTACCGGAACAGTATAAAAGTAAGAGGCCAGGTAAACCTGTCGATGAAAGCATCGAGAATGAGGGCTATGATAACATTAAGAATAAGTAGAACGCAGATGATCCACCATGATATGAAGTAGTAGGTTGACCACCAGTCTCCTCGTGAGTAAGAGAACGCATCTGTGGGATACATGATTAGTTTATAGTAAGTTGACCACCAGTCTCCTCTAGAGTAAGAGAACGCATCTGTGAGATACATGATTAGTTTATAGTAAGTTGACCACCAGTCTCCTCTAGAGTAAGAGAACGCATCTGTGGGATACGTGATTAGTTTATAGTAGTAAGTTGACCACCAGTCTCCTCGTGAGTAAGAGAACGCATCTGTGGGATACATGATTAGTTTATAGTAGTAAGTTGACCACCAGTCTCCTCGTGAGTAAGAGAACGCATCTGTGGGATACATGATTAGTTCATAGTAAGTTGACCACCAGTCTCCTCTAGAGTAAGAGAACGCATCTGTGGGATACATGATTAGTTCATAGTAAGTTGACCACCAGTCTCCTCTAGAGTAAGAGAACGCATCTGTGGGATACATGATTAGTTCAGTAGTAAGTTGACCACCAGTCTCCTCGAGAGTAAGAGAACGCATCTGTGGGATACATGATTAATTCATAGTAAGTTGACCACCAGTCTTCTCGTGAGTAAGAGAACGCATCTGTGGGATACATGATTAGTTTGTAGTTAGTTGACCACCAGTCTCCTCTAGAGTAAGAGAACGCATCTGTGGGATACATGATTAGTTCATAGTAAGTTGACCACCAGTCTCCTCTAGAGTGAGAGAACGCATCTGTGGGATACATGATTAGTTTATAGTATGTTGACCACCAGTTTCCTCTAGAGTAAGAGAACGCATCTGTGGGATACATGATTAGTTTATAGTAAGTTGACCACCAGTCTCCTCTAGAGTAAGAGAACGCATCTGTGGGATACATGATTAGTTTATAGTAAGTTGACCACCAGTCTCCTCGTGAGTAAGAGAACGCATCTGTGGGATACATGATTAGTTTATAGTAAGTTGACCACCAGTCTCCTCTAGAGTAAGAGAACGCATCTGTGGGATACATGATTAGTTTATAGTAAGTTGACCACCAGTCTCCTCGAGAGTAAGAGAACGCATCCGTGGGATACATGATTAGTTCATAGTAAGTTGACCACCAGTCTCCTCTAGAGTAAGAGAACGCATCTGTGGGATACATGATTAGTTTGTAGTAAGTTGACCACCAGTCTCCTCTAGAGTAAGAGAACGCATCTGTGGGATACATGATTAGTTTGTAGTAAGTTGACCACCAGTGTCCTCGTGAGTAAGAGAACGCATCTGTGGGATACATGATTAGTTTATAGTAAGTTGACCACCAGTCTCCTCGTGAGTAAGAGAACGCATCTGTGGGATACATGATTACTTTATAGTAAGTTGACCACCAGTCTCCTCGTGAGTAAGAGAACGCATCTGTGGGATACATGATTAGTTCATAGTAAGTAGACCACCAGTCTCCTCTAGAGTAAGAGAACGCATCTGTGGGATACATGATTAGTTTGTAGTAAGTTGACCACCAGTCTCCTCGAGAGTAAGAGAACGCATCTGTGGGATACATGATTAGTTTGTAGTAAGTTGACCACCAGTCTCCTCGCGAGTAAGAGAACGCATCTGTGGGATACATGATTAGTTTATAGTAAGTTGACCACCAGTCTCCTCGAGAGTAAGAGAACGCATCCGTGGGATACATGATTAGTTTATAGTAAGTTGACCACCAGTCTCCTCGCGAGTAAGAGAACGCATCTGTGGGATACATGATTAGTTTATAGTAAGTTGACCACCAGTCTCCTCGAGAGTAAGAGAACGCATCTGTGGGATACATGATTAGTTCATAGTAAGTTGACCACCAGTCTCCTCTAGAGTAAGAGAACGCATCCGTGGGATACATGATTAGTTCATAGTAAGTTGACCACCAGTCTCCTCGTGAGTAAGAGAACGCATCTGTGGGATACATGATTAGTTTGTAGTAGGTTGACCACCAGTCTCCTCTAGAGTAAGAGAACGCATCTGTGGGATACATGATTAGTTTGTAGTAAGTTGACCACCAGTCTCCTCGTGAGTAAGAGAACGCATCTGTGGGATACATGATTAGTTCATAGTAAGTTGACCACCAGTCTCCTCTAGAGTAAGAGAACGCATCTGTGGGATACATGATTAGTTCATAGTAAGTTGACCACCAGTCTCCTCTAGAGTAAGAGAACGCATCTGTGGGATAGATGATTAGTTTATAGTAAGTTGACCACCAGTCTCCTCGTGAGTAAGAGAACGCATCTGTGGGATACATGATTAGTTTATAGTAAGTTGACCACCAGTCTCCTCTAGAGTAAGAGAACGCATCTGTGGGATACATGATTAGTTTTAAATAGTATGTTGACCACCAGTTTCCTCTAGAGTAAGAGAACGCATCTGTGGGATACATGATTAGTTTATAGTAAGTTGACCACCAGTCTCCTCTAGAGTAAGAGAACGCATCTGTGGGATACATGATTAGTTTTAAATAGTATGTTGACCACCAGTTTCCTCTAGAGTAAGAGAACGCATCTGTGGGATACATGATTAGTTTATAGTATGTTGACCACCAGTTTCCTCTAGAGTAAGAGAACGCATCTGTGGGATACATGATTAGTTTGTAGTAAGTTGACCACCAGTCTCCTCTAGAGTAAGAGAACGCATCTGTGGGATACATGATTAGTTTTAAATAGTATGTTGACCACCAGTTTCCTCTAGAGTAAGAGAACGCATCTGTGGGATACATGATTAGTTTATAGTTAGCTGCTGTATCGAATTTCTTCGACTTTTAAAGATAACAATAGATAGGGGTTACTACAGAGAGGTACTGGTAGTGTAAGTTACTTTTTAAGACACGTGGCAGTGATCAACCGATCAGCATTCAGCTTGCCGTACCAGCCTCATCTAAATTCATTGTCGTCCAGTGCAGTTGTCTGAACAATTTATATCACCAACTTACTGACGATAATGTGCCAGTTGTTCACCACCATCAGCGTTAAAAGAGTCACTATCGAAGCAAAGAAATCGTCAAAATTCAAAGTGTAGTAATCTGAAATAGCCTTAATTATGTTAAAGCATCACCAGAATTCAAATAAAACAGCGTTAAACTCGACACAGTTGCATATAATTGATCAAAATATCACGGTGTCTGACATAGGTCAAAGCCATTTCATACCAAGATTCCAGTAGGTGCCACATTGAGAAGCCAGGGTCTGGTTATCCCTCACAGCCGATTTGTTGTGGATCTCTGAAGTTACATCCGCTGAGAACAACTCCATCCCTATTATAGCGTACACGTACATCAGAGCCATCAGTATTCCTGCGAGTTTCTTATGTGATCTCTATAAAGACATCCTCTCTTTAATAAGCTGGCCATAGGGTATCGGGGAAATGACAGTATATTACTATTAGTATTAGTTATAGGACTGAAACGAAGTTTCATAATCTTGCTTTATATTGACGAATATGTAAAATAGTTAGATTACCCAAATAAGAGGACATGTGCTTGATGAGTGTTACATAGGTCTTCACAACGACCCTCAGTCGTTTGACCTGTTGAAAAAGAAGGCACTCTAAAATTATTTAGTTTTATAAGTTTTTAGCTACGATACAGTGTAAACATGGCTACTTTAATTACTAACACACATGAAATAGAAAATGACAATCACGATTTACTTTGAACCAATACCACTTAACATTTAATATAATGATATTTCGAATCCTAAAACAGTAATTCCGAACCTGCATGACCACTCTGATGACTCTAAAACAAATACAAAGGTTAATACTCCGCAAGATATTGGTAGCAGCCAGATCCTGACCGTCATCATCAAGGTCTCGAGTGTAAAAAGTTGTCATCAATATGGATACAACAACCGTCAGGATCAAGTCGTAACAGTAGGAATATGTTCGGATGTAAACTTTGGGTCCAACACCCATGAACCGTAACACCTAATTAAATCTAACTGCAGTGGTCAATACTTAGCGCCTTATTAGTAATCGGTCAAAATATCAAAACAATTTTAGTTTAAGTTGTATATCCATTATGTTCGTTTTTAAGATGCATAACAACTTGAATTAGATAAGATGATGATTATTGTTATGGTTCAATGATAGTGAAAGATAATGTTGAAAGAACTTCTTTGATCTTGGTGCTTGTTCTACAATTAAATTATTTTCACGAAATCCATCATACTTGTTCGATAATGAAGTAGATTGTGACTATAATGTTCATGAAAAAAACGAAATCTGCTCCGGAACGAACTCCATCTTCATCAGGGTTTTGGGCCAGAACGACTAGCAGTGATACCGTGTTCACAAACGCAAAAACTGTTCCGACAACCTGTAAATAAGTTAGTATTGTAATCCCTTATACTACAAATTATCCTAAACAAATCCATCAGTGCTAACCCTGGCCGGGTTTGGATCTGGTGAGATTTGATAAGCTTGTAAATTAATCGTCTTAAGAGTTTAGTTTGGAGATTCTTAGTGAGTGAGGTCCTTATAATCCCAAAAGTCAGTAGCTCATTGTAAACTTTGTACTGTACCTCAAAAAAAGGATGTAGAACAATCTTCTTTATGTAAGGAACCTCCCATGTGTCTCTTCTTAAATATGCGTCTCGTTTTAATAGTGCGTCTGCCGCATAGTCCGTCTCGACATCTGGGGGAGATAACAAAACCGAGGTAATCCAGAATCCATACCAAAGTGTTATGTTTAAAGGAAGATTCTACAGTGGAATTTTCTAGAACATAGTAGAGTATCTTATAAGTTGGAATATACATGATTTAGTTTAACGGCCGAGAATTGCTCACCGAAAAATAGTTTCACAAAGTCTTGTTTGTCAAGATGATCAGTTTGCATCCTCTTATGGTCGTTCAATTTATCGTACAGGAAATTTTTATACTTTCTGTTCATTCTGATGCAATATAAATGTTGATCAATTTCATAATGATAACCCACTTATTATATACTATGTATTATGTTAAACTTTGAGTTCCAGTTCATGGGAATTTCCATAGTCAACTATTAAGAATTATGAAATATTCTGACTCTCTGCATCCCCCTCTTACTCCCAATTACCTAAGGTCGTCCAAAATGTCAAGAACAGCTGAAACCTCTAAACACTTGTTGGTGGGATGTGTTGGTTCCTCATCATTCATGTCATCCACAATCAGACAGTCGTCCGAGTCAGCAGTCACCTCCCAATTTCGATTAGACTCGAGGCTTTTCTCGTGGGAGGTAGTTCCTGCAAAAACAATATAAATTATGGAGGTATTATAGGAAGAGATATCAGAAATTCCAAAGTTTAAAAGTAAAGCCGTTCATTTTTATACGGTAAGCTGTAAACACTGATAGTTGATACCCACGATTTCTGCCGACCCGTGGGTTTGTTAACACTTCGAACGCAGCTCGTAAAGCAAGGCTTCGTCTTTTTATAAGCTCTTTCACTGAAACCTTGAAATTGTGCCGAAACTGGTTGTATATTACCGCCAGCAGCAAATTCATCAGCCCGTAGGTTCCTGAATGAATAATAAATATTACCGAGCCATAAAATTCAGTGGGGTGTTATGCCGAACACATTAGTGTCATATTAATTTGGCACTGACTACTAAAATGATGCAAAATGATTTCCACAATTTAACTCACCTAACCAGATATAAGCAATGAAGAAAATAAAGTAAAGTCTGTTAACTTTATAAGCTGGAATCATAACATCTGGATTATTTGCAGTTGTTGTTAGAACTAAAAAATTCCACAAGCTATCCTCCATAGTTTCAAAGTATTCCTTGATAGTATCAGAAAAGAGAATGTGCCCACTAAGTCCAAATACCACCACATTCAGTGTCAGTACCACCAGCACTCCGATCACTTCGGGTAAACTTCGCCTCACTGCATTCAGCACCTTCTTCATTATCGAGCTGTTTTGTACCATGTAGAACGGCCGTAGTACCCGGTAAACAAGCAACTGGCTCGACCTCAAACCTGGATATTGTTAGAGTAATACTAATATTGGATAATCCTACTTTATTGGAGGCGGACATCTTAATAAATTGCATTGATCGTAGATAATACTGATAACATAATGACATTTTGTTTCAGTTTGATACTCATCTTGTAGATTAATAAGATAATACTGATAACATAATGACATTTTGTTTCAGTTTGATACTCATCTTGTAGATTAAGATAATACTGATAACATAACGACATTTTGTTTCAGTTTCATACTCATCTTAAATTGACCAAAATGTCACCAGTCCACTGTTATTTTTTATCAACACTGCAATCGTAATTTTCAAGTTTCAATCATTGATCACTAACTAAAATTTCACAAAAATCATGTCTCGATAGTGATTACAAACCAATGAACAACCAGAAAAATATCACGTAAACTAAGTTGACAACTCCGTAGGCAAACAGCCATTTGCTTTTCCATGGAGGCCTGAAATGCAATAAGGTCATCATTTATCATATCCAACGGCAAAAAGCTCAAAAAACATATTGTTGTCATAGTCATGCCAACCATTATCCACCCTACTTAATTAATTAATTAATTAATTATTATTAAACGAACTTATCGGATATCCTGCAGCGAGCTAGGAAGTCTGCAATGAAGGAAATGATACAAACAAACTCAATAGAATGCGTCACTCCAAATGGGAGTTCGTATCTCGTGTTCGTGTTGTTGTTCCCGACTGTGAAATCTGTAATATGTATAATAACTGGTTAAATTAGAATTGTTGGCTGGTACGTTTGGGTTAATTGTGCCGGAAGTGAGTGTTTAAAATCACGTGCTTGATACTTCTGGGTACTACTTAATTATCTTAGGTGTCACTTTTCAGAGGACATAGATCAAATAATGAACAGGTTTATTACCTGAGTTGATACTGAGAGAGGACGGACGTTCCACAAAAGCGAGGAGGAGGAAAATAGCAACAACCAAACCATATATAATTCTGTAGCGTACACTGCCGACAAATCTGTGTATCCGCAGTGACAAGGGGTCCGTCCTGAATGATTTGTGTTTAAAATTTATTCATTGCAGACTGCAGTCGTGATTTATTACAATCGTATTCAATGCTAAAAATCGTTATTATAGGGGTTTCATTTGTTTCTTAATTTAGTCAATATAATATAAAATTTCCAAATATAATATTTCTATCTTAAGTAATTAGTAATTAGAGGATTAATTGGTAGCCTAACTACAGTAACACTTACTTATGACAGAGGGATTTGTAGGCAAGAGCATCTTCCACATACACGATAACTCTCAGCCATGTTTCATTAGCCCTGAAGATGTGCATGCACCCTGGTGCTAAGCACTGTTAGTTACGAAGTTGTCGTTACTTAACACTGTCTAGTGTGGAGGTTCTCGTCAGATCGAGAGTTCTGTACCAATAAAACTAGTGTGATGGAGATCTTATGAGGACTCCTGTTAATCAATTAAATTTTGGTAAAATACTGGTTGTCAAAGAAACCATGATGAACGACATCGTAAATAATAAGCGTATCGGTTTTATAAATAGTCGGCCTAGTGTATTGCTATTTCTAATGAGCCGAATCAGTACTATACGCTAGGATCATCAGTAACAGTTGAAGGCAAAAATACAAAGGCAGGATTCGTTAAGCTTATAAAAAAGTAAGTAGAAATAAAGATTTATAATTATCAATGCTTTAACGCATATCAAGTTGTGCAGTAGCGTACACAGAAAACGGACAACAAGTTAATTCATGCGACATCTCAGCAGCTTACATCAAATACTTTTAGTCTAAGTCATGAGTCACATGTAAAAATGCATTCATACTGGTCACATACTGGCCACAAATAAGTTGTCTACTATATATAATATTATATATTATACTAGAGCTATAATATATACTTCCTACTTAACTAAGGTATGCACTATTATATACGACTAACAACTACTCAACACAATCCTGCCAAGAAACCAAGCAATGAAATATTCAATATAAATGAATTACTTATGTATACATATTTTATCAGCACTCTTACCACGACATCATCATACTGCAACTGTGAGATCAACCATAATCATTAATTTGTGTATCAAACATTCAAACTGTCCGGCTAAAAATAACGCTCCCACCTAATGATAGGACAAACAAAGCAAAAACGAAATCCAAACAGAAATGCGGAATGTAGTACACAGTACAATATGTGGAAAGGGTATAGTGTAGTATTACAACAGAGAACTATACATGGCCCGGCAAAAATCAACTCGATGTATATAATCACTATCAGGTTCCTAGTTGTATAATATTAGTGCGATATTGTCGGTCAGTGTGAACTTTGAGACTCATGTGAGCTAGTAATCAGAGCAGCAGATATTTTAAGGTTACAGCACACTTGCACCTAGCAACCTATAGTGGTGTACGATTTCCAAGATATTCGAGTGTCAAATTCAGTCCATAGGAAATGTCACCTGCTTATATATCTATACCTACCTTATCGGACGTTATTTGACCGGACATAGCGGCAACAGTCATAATTACGAACGTGAACATTAAAATGAACGGCCAATAATTAGGCAATAAAAACTATTAAAAAATTGAATTGTTTTCAATTCTTTTTGGGCGTTCTTGTTCCCCCCCCCACACCCATGCATGATTGGGTAATGGGCATTTGCACTAACTTGGGGACTTCAGCAGTGGCTATACTATCAGCAGTGGCTATACTATCAGCAGTGGCTATACTATCAGCAGTGGCTATACTATCAGCAGTGGCTATACTATCAGCAGTGGCTATACTATCAGCAGTGGCTATACTATCAGCAGTGGCTATACTATCAGCAGCCCGATTTGGTCATGAAATTCCGCCACAAATATTACCATGGATTTAGGGTTGGAGTTGGATGTATAGCATGTAGGGTCAGGGTTGACCACAAATGTCCTCCCGAATCACGCTGAAGACGCAAACTGACCCATTGCACAGTACACTGATGATTAAGACGATCATATATAGACTATAGTGCCCAGAATTTTGACTAAATCACTCTACAGTCGATCTTTCTACAGAATTTATATGCGGTGCTGCCAAGGCGTTAGTTTGGCATCCTTATTTATCGCAACAATTATATAGTTGGCACAGTTACGGGCTGCAAAGGAATGAAACATTACATTAAAGACTAAGTAAGGAACTGATCTGCTAATTTCGTTTTATTCGTGGACAGATATTTAAGTGCAGAACATGTTCGGATGTAATGCGCGCGCCAGAAGTATTACTTTCGTTGCGCTCCATTTTCATTAAGTAAATGTCATTTGGCGACCAGAAAGTAGCGGACGCGCAAACAGTGTTGTGATCGCAAAGAAAGTGTAACGTTCAGCTTGAATCCTCAACTATTTACTATCTTAAGGACAATGAAAACAGTCAATTTCGGATTCATATAAATTATAACATAAAAAGCTATATTCACGATAGCGCCATCATGGCTGTGTTTTAAATTCTGTATGTAGAATGTAGCAACATTATCAACTTCGTTTGAAAATTAAAATAGAGTTGCAAATTGAAATCGTGTAGTAAAACATTTACAAGCAAGCTAGGAAGCACCTGCACTCATTAATTAAGTTTTGCAGGTAATAAAGCCTATGAATCAATTATGGCAAATACACTCATTGAGGATATGGCCAAATACTACGGCTTTAAAAATAAAGCCAAATTACATTTTATGCGATATCTCGACATAGCGTAATAAAAATTAACTATTTGTGAATAAAACGATTTGTAAATTACAGAATCTCAGAATCTCATTAACTTTAAATCAATAAATTTTAACAGCCAAAACTTGTTGTCGTAATTATATTCTTTGACAAAATTCTGCTACAGAAATTACTACTTATTCTGGGAGTCTTTCAAGTGCTTTTCACGGAGGAGTTTTCGCTGGATTTTACCAGAAGGAAGTTTAGGAATCGACTTAACGAACTCGACCTCTGCCAGATGTTTATAGTCGCTCACTTGACTTGCCACGAACTCTTTCACGTCATCCTCAGTCAGTTTCACTGGAAAAAGAAATGTTAACATGTACTAAGAAACAAAACAAAGGGATTTAAAATAATTATATCATTTATCAAGCAGCTTTATTTATACAGGTAATCACATTTGCCAGTGCACACGTGTAATCAGTCTAGAGTAAATAAACTGATGAAAGCAATAAACTTCACGTGCATAAATTAATAGTATAGTACAACATATAATATATGCGGTTTACGTCTTCAACTATTTTTAATTCGGGAAACTTGCTCCTATGATTGAATCTCCTTAAAAACAGACACAGTCGAAGAAAATTAAGGGTTATTTATCGTATAAAATCCACAATCTGTAAGTGAACGTACCACCAAAGGGAAGACAGACATAAGCTTTGGGCGCCTCTCCTGTCCTCTCATTGGCTATCCCAATAACTGCTGCATCTGCTATTTGGTCATGTGTCAGGAGGATTGCTTCCAACTCTGCAGGAGCTACCTGGTGGCAAATAGTTGTTTAATTGATTGATGAATCTACGTAACAGGAGGGGGATTATTTAAAACATATTAGTGATACGAAAAGTTTGTTTCAAAATACATGTGTAAATCGTCTTCAGCTGCCTACGTACCAGTTTCTTCAGTCTATTTCAATAGTCAGTGTTTTGAGCCTAGAATCCGTCTAGTAAACTGTATGCTCTTAATTTACTGGATATATCATAGATTTTGTTTAGATTCCAGAACGGAATGAGTTTAAATTAAGAATCAAAACTTCAGAATCCTTAGAGAAAATTAAGTCAGAGATAACAAACTAAAATTCAAACCTGGTAAGCTTTGACTTTGATAAATTCTTTCAGTCTATCTACAATAAAGAAGTCCTCATCTTCATCGTAGTACGCGATATCACCAGTCTTTAACCTGCGGTAATTTACATTACCTTATTTGCTCATTGAGTAAGTTAAGTAGTTATTAACAAAATTCCTGGACCATTTATACAAAACAGAGTAAAAACACATCCCTGCATATTTACCATTCACCCTCGAAAGTAGTGGCATTAGCTGCAGGGTTCTTGTAGTACCCCTTCATAACTTGGGGTCCTTTAATGTAGATCTCTCCTCGCTCGTGAGGACCACACAGCTCTCCTGTCTCTGTGTCTACTAACTGAGGGTTTCATTATTCAATAAATAACTATAAATTAAATTATAAAATTATATTATTAGATAATTCCTGCAGCTTGAGTTACACTATTAGACTCTAAATAATAGTATTAGAGACACACAGTTCTCCTGTCTCTGTGTCTACTAACTGAGGATTTCATTATTCAATAAATAACTATAAATTAAATTATAAAATTATATTATTAGGTAATTCCTGCAGCTTGAGTTGCACTATTAGACTTTAAATAATAGTATTAGAGACACACAGTTCTCCTGTCTCTGTGTCTACTAGCTGAGGAGTTTCATCTTTATTATATCGGGTCTCAATAAGAGGTCTCGACTGCCTAGGCATCAAAGTTCAAACCTTGGCAATCGGTAATTTTCCTCTGGCCCGGAGTCACCCTAGGGCCCAGAGGATAAAGGCGTAGAGACTGTGTGTATCTTTATTATTATTATTTCTATTAATGTAAGATTATTCAATAAATTTAAACTGTAAATTAAATTGGGTTAAGTGATCGGTGAGGATTCTTATTTGATGAGGTATTTGTTTAAATTACTAATTGTTTGCAGGAAGGATACATGATTCAAGTGAACAATTTAAAGGGTATTAAAAACAATATATTCTGAAATTCAATTACCCATGATTCATGAATAATGTCCCTAATGACAGCGTCAACTTGTAATAAGTTCTTAACAAACTTAACAAAACACCAACATATTTTCAATAACTATTTAATAAACTGTTGACCCACCTTAATCTCCTGGCCAGCAATGACAGCCCCAACTGAGCCGGGCTTGGTAACCCCCTGTCTACATAACAGAGTTGCTCCTGCTGTTTCAGTGCAACCGTAACCTGGGGGTTATTGTTACCAGACAAAACACAGCATATTTTCAAGATATTTATTATGGTTTTAAGCTTAGGGAGTCAAAGCACAGTAACTGTTTGTCTGGTTCTAAACCAATAAGTTAGGAGAAGCAGCCAATAAAAAGTACAGACTGATATCAGTCGACAAAACACCTTCTCTCCCTATACAAGATCAGGACGTACCAAATACCAAACGTGCAAGAACTAAATATATTACTAAGGACACCAGACATAAATACATAAATACAGTTTACTTACAGACACGAGTCTGTTCACTTACGAACAAGAGACGGCAGATAATTTATTATATAGCTAGGTTTGCAATGATAGAATTGAAGAAACAGACACATTCCAATTAAATGTCTCAGCAGTATTTTTAACTCCAATGGAACATCTTGGTCAACAACTCATTTGCAGTTCAGGGACCTAAATTGTGGAATGCAATCCCCTACCATCTGAATGTCATTCAAGATCTAGAGCACTTCAAAGATAAGCTCACAAAGTTCATGTTGTCTCTCCCTGATAAGCCGCCGATCAGGGGATATACTCCTCCAAATACGAACTCTCTGCTGTGCTGGCGCAACGAGCGAGACTCTACTTCGCTATGGGGTGGTTAGAAGATGTGATGGCCCCGTCAAGTCTTGACGAAACTCAACATAGGTCACATAGGTAGGTAGGTGGTCACATGATACCCATCTCAGTCACGTGATACTAGCCTATTGTGAGAGGATCTGCTGTACATAGTTTTAAGAATTAAGATGTTTCGAATTTTCTGAATAGAATTGGTCAAGTAATCAAAGATGGTAGGTTCGATTTGCGTTTCTTGTATGGTATGCATTACAATGTTGTTTATATCCCTGTTTGACTGATTGTTCACGCACAGTAACTCAAATGTAAACCAGTATTTTCAGCCGATTTGTAGGGGATAGTAGACTCACTTCCAATGGATTGTTAAGTTATTCACTGAATCTGTCTCAAGTATATAACAGAGACAGGTGAAATAAATACCAGTGGTGTTAATCTCGCATTCCAACAAACCTTGCAGAACATTCTAGTGTTACAAACGGTACTAGACTCTAGCTCTCTAGAGTCTCTGCTTTTGAGATCTTATTAAATTGAAATTGCCTCATGTCTAGTTTGTAGTCAGTAGACTCTTTACAGCATTAGACTATAGTCTCCCTCCGCAGTCTCCCTCTGCAGTCTCCCTCACAGTCTATTAAAACTAATCTCACAATTCAAATCCAGTATAAAAGCCGAACTCTCGTGAGGCTTACACAAATTGTTGAGGTTATGGTTCGTTCTCATGTTCCGCATTCTATATTTTGCCCATTAAGACCCCCTCCTTCCTCCATTTAAATAACTTATGTCCTATACACAGTACATAGCTATATTAACCCCCTCCCTCCCTTTAAACCGGTCTACATAAAACATGAAGCATCCTTAAAATATTCAAACGGAGACCTTTAAAATGTCTAGATAGTTGGCTAATAACCTGGTGCCTAATGCTCTTAGCTCCTTCAAAGACCCATTTCTTTTGTGAGCCCCTTGTTAGAGTTCAGAGCTTCTACAAATATATAACACATGGTGTAATTTGTAAAGTTCAATTTGCTTTCGTTTCTTTCGTTTCTGTGTAGTAGACGTATTTTAAATAGTTTTCATAGTTTGAATTTTTTCGATTGATTGTGATTTATTTTACTAAAGAAAGCATTAACGCAGTAATATAAGAAATTTTAGGTTTGAAGATAATTATCGGAACGGGCATTTGGCAATTGAAATCAGGAGCTGAAAATGAATACCTGGAATCGAGATTTCCTTCAATACCCAGTAAAATTATTTCAAGTTGTAACTCAATAATCTCATGAACGAATGTAGCTTTATGGAGATCAGATAACAACATCACATCAAGTTATGACTAATTTATTCAGATGTACTTGTTGATAAAATAACTTTCATTATATACTTCATTCGGTATGTTCCTTAAAGTTAAGCGAAACTTGTACTTCTTATCACCAAATTTGTAGGGCTAAAAAAGGCCTGGCCGACGCAAAAATGCATTTTACTGAACTCTGCCCACCTCCAAAATGTAATCAAATCAACGAGTATTTACTGATAAGAAATACGACTGTGGGACTTCCACTAACTTCAATTCATTCTCCCGAAATATTAGGTGCAACGTACATAAAGTAGGGGAACCACATTCATTTTCATAGTCTAACATGGAATCTTATAAAACAGAACAGCAGATGTAATAATAAAGCATATTAAGAAGGCTTTTCGCTGAGAATCTTTGTTGGAGTTTGGGAATACTAATTTACCAAAACACGTACGGAGTGAAATTGATAGGAACAAGATAATAAATCCCCTAACATGTGAGCCTCAATATCACGTACCATTCTACATTATTATAGGTGCAGGTGTGTAGCATACTTCCTTAATCAGAAATACCAAGTGGCTACATACTTGTAATACAGCAATACACTAAGACCGTCCCTTGACCCTAACTTATGTTATTTGTCCCTTACTTATACTACTTAAGGGGGCCGGGGGGGGGGGGGGGGGTCTTCATCAAAATTCTCTCGAAATCGACTTTTAAGTTGTTTCTGATAGAGGGGAGTGATATCTATCAGCTGCTTTTGGTCCCATGGAAAAATATTGTTCCTAGCCGAAATTATCGCCGGTCTAAGGTCAGCGCTTATGTGTAATTGTATTGCGCAAGCGATTTTCAATCGCAAATTCTGAAAATCGAGTCTAAAAATCTATCTTCTCCCACAATTTTTGAGCAATCACCCTGAAACTTTCAGGATATGTTCTAGGGACCATTTAGAAGAGATTGATCATACAAAATTTTGAGATAGGCCTTTAAACATTTTTTATTCAATTTTGAAAATCTTGGACCTCGTTTTTTTACGATTTTTTGAGGTCCAAGATTTTCAAAATTGAATAAAAAATGTTTAAAGGCCTATCTCAAAATTTTGTATGATCAATCTCTTCTAAATGGTCCCTAGAACATATCTTGAAAGTTTCAGGGTGATTGCTCAAAAAATGTGGGAGAAGATAGATTTTTAGACTCGATTTTCAGAATTTGCGATTGAAAATCGCTCGCGCAATACAATTAAACATAAGCGCTGACCTTAGACCGGCGATAATTTCGGGTAGGAACAATATTTTTCCATGGGACCAAAAGCAGCTGATAGATATCACTCCCCTCTATCAGAAACAACTATTAAGTCGATTTCGAGAGAATTTTGATGAAGACCCCCCCCCCGGCCCCCTTAAACAATGTACCTTGAGTAACTTCCAGGTTTATTCCAGGATTGCACGCTCGCAGCCTCTCTTTAACCGCCTCTTCTGTCTCCTGTGCAAGTGGAGCAGCACCCACCACAATCAGGCGCAGGTGGGACAGGTCGTAGTTAGCCACAATGTCGAGCTTACTGAGCATTATCATGATTGGGGGTACCACTGTTGTACTGGGAGCCTGAAATATTATTAAGTTAAGTTTTATTTTATAATATGGCATTTTGTTGCAGACGTAAAAGTAGTGAGTAATGGCTCCTGGCAATGGTGGTATGACTCATGAGTTTCTATTATTTCACGACCTTTGCGGTGCGTTGTTACTCAAAACAGCTAAATTATCCAATTTCAAAAATTACAGGAAAAATAAAATCATTCAAGCGACAATAAATTAGAGATGAATTGCTCGTTATGTAGCTAGGTGTACAACTATTTGTAGCCATTATAGGATACTGAAGGGAAAGGAAGCAGTTCTAACGAGCTCTTCTCAAACACAAGGATATATCTTGTGAACTTGGCTAGTATATATGAAACATTTGATATGGAGTTGTAGAGGGAGTTATGTGCCTCGCCGGGCTAAAGTAGTGGATGACCTTGCTGTACGGCAAGTTAAACAAGGATCTGAAACTACTAGGTTCCGTACAGACTCAACTCTGCACCCGTGTCAATATGTTCATTATATGCAAGCCTCTTGATTTATTATCTCACATATCAAAGAGAATTCTTTAGTTAGTTGTGAAACTGCAACTAAATCACTACAACTCAGGGGAAGATAATGGCTTCCAGGTTTCCATCATCACAATTATCTAAAGTATTCTAATGTTTTCCCAGTTAGCGTGGCCAGGTGTTTAGGCACCTGGGGCGGCCGTGCACAGATAAACTATCTCCTTCCCAACTTGCTAATAGAGCTACTGGAGGCTTATTTCTCTGAATTTCGATTATCGTGTTTTGACACTTGACTGAGAAATGTTCGACAGTTTATCAGAACTACCGTCCAACTAGTTGATATTCGGCTGCCAAATTTGTAGATATAAACTGCTCTCCAACTTACCAAGTACGAACTACAGCTACAGGGTGGGCCAAAAGTCAGTACCCATACGTTCACCTTAATAGCTCAGTCACTGAGTGCCCAATTGAAATAATTCTTTCTGGTATATCTTAGTACAACCACTGTTTCGAGGAATTTGTCAACTCGAATAATGGGGGGAATGCAACGTCAATTAATGTCAATTAATGTCAATTAATGTCAATTAATGTCAATTAATGTCAATTAATGTCAATGTCAGTTTTGCAAAATTTTGGAATACTGACATTAATTGACACGATATTTTTCGACCAGAGATTATGTAGTTCTACCATATTGTTAGTACTTTAGAACGTTTATATCATCAATTTATTCACTACTATCACATATGAAAATGTGAAAAAAATTCAGATCATTACGGGTATCGGCCTTACAAAATGACAGGCCTCACAAAATGACAGCCCACATAGACCATGCTGTAGCTTAGGTTCCCTATACATTGAACCCTATTCCTTTTACTGTATGAAAGAAAAAGCATTAATTAACACTTCCCAAGGAATGATAATGACATAGAATCTATATTTCTTACATAAATATGGACGTTTTTGCTGTTCAGTCATTGCCCCGCCTAACTGTTCATGTTACCCAGAATGGAGACCAAAGTTTTGAATTTAACCCCAGAAAACCAGGTACTACCATGACTTATGTCAATCAAAGACTACTCTGGTCAAATAAAAAAACTGATTTAGTGACTTTGGTAGAAGAATTGACAAAAAAATGAGCTAGCCTCACAAAATGACAGTGTTATGCCTCACAAAATGACAATTTTATTTTATGATACAAAGATGGCATATTTATATTGGATGCCCCTTGCCTAATTATTGGTATTCTTAAACCCAGTAAGCTCATGATGAGCCTTAATGTGTTTGTTTGATCATCAATTTTGATCAAAATGCCTCACAAAATGACACCGAAAAGCCTTACAAAATGACAATGTTTCAGATTGAATTATTTTCATCATCTAAAATGGATCAGAGACAGTCAATACAAGAAGGAGTTAAAAATAATCATAATCTGACAGTTAACAATCAAGTAGCATTAAAAAAGTGCAGTTCTGGTATCAAAACTTTGATTTCAAACTCTTTGATTTCAAACTCTGATTTCAAAACTCAACGAAATAAAGCTTCTATTTTGTGAAAGCAGAGAGTAATAACAACTCCTAAAACATGTCAAACGTTAACTAAACACTGAAAAGTGATCTATCCAGTCATAGAAAATATCAAATATAACCAAATACTGTGTTCAAGTATGAAAACAAAAAATGATTTTTACGCCTCACAAAATGACATTTTTTAAATTTTTTCAAAGTATAAAAAATGTTCCTTTTTAAATATATTTTGGTAAAAACAGAACTGGTATAATATAAACAAAATATATATCTAACAGTAAGACACGTGAAAGAATAATGAAACTTTTTCCCAAATCGGATTTGAAGTGATGCCGTTTTGGGTTGTCATTTTGTAAGGCACTATCTCACGCGAAATTGCCCAACTTTTTTTAATCATCCTTTTTCCTGTAAAAGCTATTCTAATCTTCAATCTATTATATTTCTCTAACTGTCCTAGGTGAAATCAAATTTCTATAGGCTGCTGTTAAAAAATGACAGCCGTGACGAAATTGTCATTTTGTAAGGCATGTTTTTTTGGAAGATTTCAAAGATGACAATTTTTATCGCAAAATTTACGGTTTTTCAATCAAATCAACCCCCGGGAAGAAAAAATATACCTGTTGAACTACCTATCTGGATAATAAAACATGAACAAAACTCATTTTTGTGCATTTCAGAGCCATCTCCTTTTTCGTGTCATTTTGTAAGGCCGATACCCGTAAACAATAAAACTAAAATAATACGGTTTCCCGAAATTTAATTTTCTTAAATGGGCGTGGCCATCCAAGGGCGTGGTTCTCAACATCATCAGAACTTAAAACCCACATTAAACGAAATGCCTTCATGACATTTATATGTGAATAACGAATCTTAAACAGCTAACATTACTCCTTCATACTAAAAAAGCCGATTCTAAATATTTTACCTGTATAAGAAACCAATAAAATATGGGCGTGGCCGGTGGGGACCGAAGATGGAAGAGTTGGAAGCTGAAATTTTTTTTGGTGGTCTTTGAACCTAAGGATCAACAGATAAGAACATGCTCATAATTATTCAAGGACATTTTGTTTTTTTGAACCGGTCTAACTTACATAGACGTGAATATCTTGAATATTTATCGAATAATGCTAATCTCAAATTTCAAGACATATTAATGTCAATTAATGTCAATTAATGTCAATTAATGTCAATTAATGTCAATTAATGTCAATTAATGTCAATTAATGTCAATTAATGTCAATGTCAGTTTACGGTTTTTATGGAATACTGACATTAATTGACGTTGCATTCCCCCCCGAATAATATAAAATATTCGTGTTCATTTTTTTCAGATGAAGATTCATTTTCGCATTTATTTGATAATTTGGATAGTCGGATCGAGCTGAATTTTATTGAATTGTGTTTGGCCATTCAAATTACGTTTGTCCTGAAAAAAATTAGAGTTATAGCTTCTCAGATGACCGAGATACGAAGCATAAAGAGTTTATTCATTACATGTGATCAGGTGATTTGCTTACCTAATCACGTGATAAGGTGACCCCGTAAACTACCCCGTTAAACATTATGGGAGTCGTTAAGGCTCACATAATCACCCAATCAATTTTGTCCAGTTAGCGTGGCCAGGTGACAGTTTATCAGAACTACCGTCTAACTAGTGCAGGTTGATATTCGGCTGCCAAATTTGTAGATATAAACTGCTCTCCAACTTACCAAGTACGAACTAATATCGAGGTTGCTTTGACTGTAGTTTTAAATATCAAATTATTCGAGATCCCGGATCAGCCGATGATATATTTAAATATGTTCTGGGATTTCAAATCATTATAAGTCAATTAATGAACACTAATATGGTAGATGCTTGTCACCATATCACACGATAGGATCATAAGCTATATCAATTATCTCAGGGACAGATCTATATTGTAGGGTGTTAGTAACATACCAGAGTAACATACCAGAGTTACATACCAGAGTTACATAATACAAACCAGAGTTACATACCAGAGCTAACTAACAGACTGTTACAGTGTTAGTAACATAGTCTGTAACTCTAGTGTTAATTAAATACTGCCTGTAACTATGGTCTCTACTATCTGTACGACACGAAAATTTAATCATGTTTCATTGAAATTATGATCGTTGGTCATGAAACTGTGGCTACGAATTAATACACATGGTAGGAACAATTAAAACTATCTCGCACTGTACCAATTTATAGCATTAGCACATTCTTTTCGTATTATTTTGTTTGTTCAATATTATAATTAAATGAACATTTAAATGAACATTCGTGCACATTTTTCTATCGTCTATACAAGGAGTCGTAGCCAGCACACGTCTACATTTCAACTTTCATTCGATACTTAATTTATTTTTATGATTAAACAATAAACATATTATATAATATGTGCAGGTAAGGTATTCTACATGATAACGTATTTAGTTGATGTGGTAGTGTATGTCTCAAAGTAATTATAATACAATCATCATAGCCATAATTTTGATATTATTATTATTTATTTACTTATTTATAAGACTGTTTGTTACAGATTTATCGTAAACTGTTCATAATATGACAAACTGAAGAACGATATTTTAAGGTATCTTTAAAATGTTGACGCAGTAATTCTCCAGGGAATAATTTATTACATAATTTAAAGTCGTTTAAACGGCACATTTTATACCAGCAACTTTCGTCTCAGCTTAATATAAGGAATGTAGATATTAAATTAAGCAACTCATTGTTAATGAGCCGTAAATACTGTATAACTAAATACTATATAACTATATATATATATAACTGGTCGTTGTGTTCGAGGGAACGAATGATTATTTCAATAACATTTACGCAATATAATACGATTAAAGCATTACCATTATATCACTAATAACCATTAACAGAGACACCTTATTATTGCTATTATTGTTATTGTTGTGCCAACACGATATTGTGACAGATTCGCAATATAGTGCTTTCGCATTTCGTTATAATGTGCGGTTGCCCAAAAACCATTTACTGCGCATACATAATATTATGTTATTTATGACGTATCCTCTTTTTAACAAGATAATCCAAGATGTGCAGTGAATCGGATGTTTTTTATGTAGTCTAATAACATCGTATGATACTGTACATTATCTTGAAACCTACATATTACCGCCATATTTATAAGCAGTTATCTAGACTAGTGGGTCTACGAGCCCGTCTATACTCTATAGGTGAATTTGAACTATCTAAGCGCTTTTAAAACCCAGAATAGTTCCTATTCTGATAGAATAGTTTCAAGAATAATGCTGTTTTATGAATTCGTTTAATTAACAATAAACAGGGCCCTGAAACCTAATAACGCCACGCCTTAACTTCTGCTTGTTCCTACTGCTCTTATCCGCCTTTCCTCTTCCACAGCAAACTTATAAACTGCCACTATTTACTATTTGTAGCTAACCTTTCAACTTTCTCAAGATAATTATTAAATCCTGGGCCAAATACTTTAATTGCTTCCTTATTCGTTTAATAATTCTAATGACCGAATTATCAATTAACGTTACGCTTCAATATCATATCTTGTAGAGCAAAAGAAGCTCATTGCTTGGCAGTAATATGCTTGTTAATACATCACGCGATACATTATTCAGTGAGAAATTCTAGAAATAACCGAACAGTTCGCACCGGAAAATTCTATACTATATTTACCTATTTAATACATTCTTAAATTTTATAATTTCCCGTTCAGTACGTTCGCAACAGGTCGATTTCATCGAAACCTTTTCATTTTGGCAGAAAAACGATCGTTTAGGTAAGTGAGATCACCCTGAGCTGCGCCCCGAAAATAAAAACCACCACCTGTGAATCATTAGTAGAAGCACGATTTGGAACGAATACTTCCCCTGTACTATCAAGGGGGCTAAGTCGCTAAGAACCCCCACCAGACAGAGTCCAGGTCGCCATTACCTCATGAGAGAAATTACTGTTTTACTGATGACCTGGAGCTATAGTTTGAAAACGTAGGCAGAGTAAAATGGGAACAGAGAGAGAGAGACCTCTGGAGAGCAGGGACTAGTGACCAGCCAGCTTGGTCTCTCTTATTGGTTGTGGTGCAGGTGGTGTATTTTACTATCGACCATCTTTCTACCCGTGTGAGAGAGATTATTACATCTCACAGAGATGGATAATGTGAGTTCTTAAGCGGTTCTAAGTACGCTGCGTGAAAAGTTGCTGTGAATTTGTTTTGTTGTTTAATCCGGTCCTTGATGCTTTCTTGATGTTATGCTAGTGTTGAATAATTACAGCGTGGTTATTGTAATTAAAGACACATTAGACCAAGTATGTTGACAAAAGAGGACGATGAGGATTGGACCCTCAGTAATTTATCCGTTAACTCAAATTATTTGTTAAATATATTATATATAGCAATCTTGTTTAAGCATTCAAAGTTCTATAACAGTAAACTGTTCATCTTCAAATTTATCCGTCTTACTGTCATAGTTGGTATGTTGGCTAAGTTTTTTCGGCACTTTTTCGGCACGTCAACACTACTTATCAGCTAAAATGGTCGCTGCCTTTTGTCGTGAGTTTAAAACAGAGCCGTAACAACGGATCCATTTCATAAACCATTGTCTGAAGTAAAAACACAGCAACATCACATAACACCACCAGCACCTTGATGTACCATCTAATTACCATGACAATAGTGCTAGTTTGTCCTGTGAAGCTGGCTGACTTGTGAAAAGTGCCGCGTGGTAGATTGTTCCTCTATAAGTTACAATGACGCCGGCCCATCTCACATCTGGCAACATCTCAGTCCCTGATCAGCCACTAAAAACTAATTGCCAGCAACTTTTCACGCCGTTGGTAGGATCACAGGTGCCCTCGAATTTTCTAGGAGCTCTTCTGTTTTCCTCGCAGATTGGGTTAGCATCACTCCGACGACCTTGCCAGAGCTCTTCTTCTCTTACAATTGTGGCTGGATAGTGGATCAGCCAAGTCACGCATTGATGCCTTTATGGTAAACTTAAATCTTGTTTCATTCATCTTAAGTGAATTAATAACACAAATATTGATCATCAAGTTCTGCATAATCATGTTCATATTGACGTATCTTAATCGAATTATCATAAAGAGGAACTGATCATATAGGTCACAGTACTCGAAGAACTACATTATCGAATGTTTAATTTTTTATGAAAGCGCGAAGTGTTTTGTTTTCTGTCTTCATAACTGGTTTATTTCATTGACATATTTTAATGTCTTCACCTGCACAATTTCTCGATGACAGTGTGGAAGCGTGCCCTGTTTAATAATTTCTTACGTGCTCTTATCCATAGCTTTCATTTAGTTTTCGTTGATACTTTCAATTTTGTAACCAGCTTACAGCTGTTGAAATGCAATCATAATAATTCGATTCAGTTTGAAAAGAGATCAATCTAAACATGTGGGAGTTTACCACAGGGGGCATTCCACGGTAAATGCTAAATATTTCTATACATCTAATTTCTTTTTCTTGCCATTTACTTAGTTAGTAGTTAGGGCCATAATGTTTGAAACCGTCACTGCAGCTAGTATGTTATCTGCTTTACCGTGCGTGATCTCGATAATTCTTAAATGCGGCTCGGAAGGATATAAACCAGGTTGTTAATCATACAATTGCTATTTGTTATTAGTCAGCACCAGCACAGCTGTTTATTGTACAAATGATGTCTGATAACAACTCGGTAATTTCCTTACATCTGTCTCTAGTCGAGTAGCACTTCCGTTAATGGCACATCATGTGGGAATATAATAAGATTGGAATGGTTTAGGTAGATAGCTACTGATTTGTCAATGGAGTGGTGTTTATTACATAATTGTTTTAGATAATAGATCGGTATCAAGCTTTGAGGAAAATTAACCGCTGTTCATATAAGAAATACGGAATACCAGTATCAGTAACAGTGTTTATCCACCGTTAGTAAAATTAGTAGTTTACAGCTTTTGAAGGAATCAACTATGACTTATGAGTATGTCTAACCAACATGTTTTGGGAAGCCTTGCCTTAGATTGTTGCACCGTGAGAAAACAATAAAGATTACTGAAAGCTATTTTTTGATATCTTACCGCGTACTTAACCTTTTAACCTTTATAAATGCACAACCTATTCATGATGGGGGGTACACCCTGTCAATATAACACCAGTTGGTGGTACGCTCACATTACGCAATATTAGACTGTATTAACAGGTAATACCCAGGATAATCTTACAGCCACAATAGCGACACATCGCCTGGGAGTTGCACTGCAAATAAATGCAGTGAACTTGATAAATCCAAGGTCACATTTTGTTCTTTAACTATCGTTTCTTTTGTTACGTTCTATGTTGCTGCTTGGTAAACGCCCGACTTGAATCCCCCAAATCACAGTTTAGCATCCATTAAAGCCCCAACACAAAGACGATCGGTGCTTAAACGGCATCACGACTAAACTTTACACTCACTTGAAGAACTTCAAGGCTATGTTTTCTCGATCATTCTCTTGTAAAGTGTAATCAAGCTTGTATCTATATCCTCACTTGCATACTCCATTATCAAATCCTTACTTCATGCACCATCAAATGCACAAAACCGCAAAACCACCTGGCTATTTAACGCCTTAGTCAGCCATGCAGAGAGCTAGTTATTGCAATCCATCATGATATAATCTAGGTTACTGACAATACAAATCGTATAATTTATACGATATAACGGAGTGAGGACAAATGGTCGGCAGTTAATGTGCGTGAAGATGACAAGGTTTATATCGAGCTAATGTTTTGTTAGTAGCATTAACCTGTGTTGTTGTGTTGTACCTACTTTAATTTTGCATTACTGTGTATAGGAACCGAGCATTTATTAATGCATTGATTTGAAGATGTCATGTTTTAACTAAGGATTTTTTAAATATTAAGAAGTTGTATTTTTTTTAAATATTTTCGTTTGACCTTAGACAGTTGGGCTTTATAGTGGAAAATTGGTAGTGCAAAAACAGGTTGCATCTGAAAACGTTGCTATCTTACTATATATAAAGCGAGACGATATATATATATATTTATCCGTGCCATTTTACTGACACCACGGCATCAACTTTAACGCGAATTTCTGCAAAAACCGTCAAAGATATACAACTGAATCTTTTTTGACTGGGTTAAATGCTTTAATGGCCTCCAAATCAGCATGAAAAAATAAAAAATTGGCCAAGAAATAGGAGTTTTAGAGCCCAAAATTTGGTACCCCAAGTGGTGTCAAAAACGCGAATTAAATAGGTAATAATTGTTTTAGTCTCTTGAGTCTTGACACCATTTTAGGGTTAGACGGGTTCCTGCTCGTATGTTCCAAATTGACAAAATTCAAACAATCATCTTTACTGGATACAAATCATCAGAAATGTAACTTCACTTTAAAAAACAGACTACAGATGTTTAAGAGTAACCAATTGCTTAGCGCTTTCCTTTTATTCACCTACAACTATCAGTATGGCAATTGTTTACCTAATACCCATATGCATAATATATAATATTATCACATCCCATGTTATGTTGCAGTATGTGTTGGAAGACATTGTGGCACGTGCGTTATGTACAAGTTGCAAGTGCTATTCTCTAGACTAATGTTCCGGCTCCCCAATATGAGTGGGGGCGATATTAAATATTATTATGTTCGTTGCACAGATGTCCTTGGATCAGTAATCCATTAATTGCCTAATGCCCTGTAAGCAATGGTTGGGACACAGACAGTTTGTTACGAAAATCATTGCACAAGGCTTTTTTTTGGTGCTGTTGTTTCAGACACAAGTCGGCAATTTGTGACTAATTTCTTATTACATTTTTGATTGGAGTAAGGCATTTTTATCTTTTATACAACTATTCAACTTTTATTCAGAAATAAATCTAGAACAACATCAAATCCGGAGCTCTAGTTCTTCTGACTAATGATTTATTGTGCCATTTTAATTATCCTTACACTGTATTAATTATTATATTTCTTATTTCAGATGCTTTTAGGAATTTAACATTATATTATTATCATAATTCACAAAATGATGAATGCACAGAGTCCAAGCTCTAACTCTCTAACTCTTACACTGGTGCTGAGTCGTAGAGAATTTATCTAGATTGGTGGCCTCTGAGCTCTGTTATTTACGTTACTCATGTGGGTTCAGCCTATCTATTTTGCTTTTGGCTCTGTGTCTGAGAATTTCTCAATTTATAAGATAATTGCTAAATTGATCATTTAAAAATATGTGCAATTGTTGCTAAATTCTTTATTAAAGCACTAATGACTAAGACTTTAAATTACAACCTGGCATCAATCATCAAGTTATGAAATATATCATTAATACTAAAAGCAGATTGCTCCTGCAGATCATAATATAACAGCTGCCGTTTCGTTTGCACAATGTGACAATGATGTCACATTTTTATTATAAATTTATTTGGTAATATAAACTAACAAATAATAAAAAAATACTTAACTAGCAGAAAAAAATGACTCAACTTGGATCACATATTGAGTGGCATATAGTCAACGGCACAATAGTGGAGTTCAACAAGAATGCAGACATCGGCTACGGAACAATACTGATACTAATAACCATTTTGGGAACCCTTGGAAATGCACTTTCACTCTACTACTTCATCTCCAAACGCAGAGACGTCTCTGCTATCATATACATCAGCGTCACCGCTGTGGACACAGTGCTATGCCTCTGTGCGTTCCCTGTGGCGCTCTCCTACTTCAACAGCAGGAACCCCACCCTGTTTAGCAGCTTGATCTTCTGTAACATGTGGCACCTGGTGTATAAGACTCTCTCCTCCATGTCCATCTTCTGTGTTGCTACACTGAGTATCACTAGAACCTACTTTCTGTTGCGGCCCTTCAGGTCTATTTCTAAGAAGCTGGTTGTGGCTTCGTTAGTCAGCTACTTCCTGTTCCAATGTGTTGCTTCTACCATAATATACTGGGAGCAAGGAGGACAGTGGATGTATTTCAGTATGTTTGCTGAGTGTTCATTTGCAGCAAACGTAACCAAGTTTGAGAAACTTGGAGACGTAATTCTGAACATGTGCCACACTTTTCCAGTTTTCCCCATAATCCTTAGTTGTTTCATCAGCATTTTTGCTCTGATGGGTTCAGCGCGGGAGGGGAGAAGTGCAGAGCAGAACATGGAGAAGCGCTACGCTTCTGTAACAATCGTCATGTTCACTGTAATATATGCAGTGTTCAACATCCCCTCATCCTTCCTAAACCTCTATAAACTATTTGACATGGAAGGATTTGACGAAATGTTAGCATTCGACGAACTGGGCTACTTTTCTAACTTTGTGTGGAGCCTCAGCATACCATTAAACGCATTGTGCAACCCCATTCTCTACATCATTAGGATGAAAAACCTCCGGGCAGCCCTGTTGACTACAATAACAGGTAAAAATTCAAGAGAATCTGATGATTATGTGACAGCACGCACTGAGCTGGCTAGTCGTGTCTGAAGAATTAATGCTTCGGGAACTCCACGTCAATATGCCTCTTGATCGGGGCTAGGTGGCTTCAAATGGTGAACATGTAATGTGCATGTCATGTGATTTGAGTCATAAACATATAATGCATGCCTTATGCTTTGGGTTGTTTGCCATAAACAAACTATCGCAAACTTGTTTAGAGTTTAGTTAGAATTAGAAAGCTACCATTAACGTTCAATTGCAGGGGGTTTCTACAATCCAACCCAGGAGAGACAATCATGTACTAAGATAACAAAAACATCATCCCGTATTCCTGCTCTGGTGTAACACATTGTGCTGGAGATGTGGCCCAGGAAGGCTATGACTATGATTAACAATTATGTTGGACATATCTAGAATTTTATTGAAAATTGATTGACTGATTAAAGAATAAAGGGCTGAGTGTATTTATACACTTTTAAACTTGATGTTTAAATTATTAAATAGGTTTCTGTATATATTCCACTTCTCTTTGTCTCACATCTTATAAATTTACTGTGCATTGTAGATCTTAGCTTGAGCCTTGATTTAAATATTCGTTTTCGAAAATGATTTAAAATGATTTGAACCGCGATTTCAATTTTGAACAAGTTACCCGTACTGAAAGTAAAGGGAAGAAGTAAAAGGTCCTGCTAAATAATAAAAGATAAAATTCCACTGTATTCATGCTTTTCAGTACAAGTTAGAACGAAGTCTTCATGTTATGAAACCAGGAATAACACTGTTTTTCGAGGGTTGAACAGTATTAAAATTATGGCAAAGACTTCAATATAATAATAAAAATAACTGCGTGCAATTGATATAGACTATTACATTAATTGGTGTCCTTAATTGTGAGTGATTCAGAAGATTGTCAGTTCCTCTTATTGTACTTACTTTGAAGTCTTGCAGACATTGTAAAAACAGTTCAGGAGAAAAGAAAGGAAGAGCTATCCTTTGATACCCGTTTAGAACGCCAAACTGGGCCAGCAAACTTCCATATGAGTGGAATTCAGGTAAAAAATCGACCTGTAAAATATTTCTGTGATAAGATGAAATCACAGGGACATTTTCAAGAAATGAATTACATCAGGTAAAAACAGTGCTACCAGAACGTTATACTGACAAAATATGACAGAAACAGCTCTTATAAAACTTAGCAGAATTGCCACAACTCTACACTGGTCACTGAACCTTTTACAAGAAATTCAAACAGAAAGTTGAAAATTGATAATTTACTAGTACTCACCATACGAGGGTTTTTAAGTCCTTCCGTTTCAATTATATCTTCAAATTTACCGGAAATGTTAATGCTCTCTAGCTGAGAGTTCATGTTTGTATGTGATATTTCAACTGCTTTTGGGAGACCTGGACATGTTTCGGGTGAAGGAAAGTACACAGAGAAAGTATCTAGACAAATCATTTAACAATTTTACTATCAGCTGATACAAGTAGACGTATTGGCCTCTTAAAAGATCCTTAATATAATGTAACATGACAAATTTTGCATAATTAAAAGATCTACAAAGGGTCTACAAACAGGAAATTGAAATGAGTACCTGTTGTTCCACTACTGAACATCATGATAGCTGTATCGTCCAAATTGCCATTGTGTTCAGGACAAATCGTCGATTCATCTCTGAAATAATTATAATATTTTTATCATCTGTATAAGTGCCCTTCTTCATTGTGTTTTCAAATACAATCGTTTAGATTTCAATGCCATCATTAAGCCAGTTGAAAATACATCTTTTCATTGATAAGCAGTTTCTTGACTGTTTTGGTAAATAATGTCAGATATACATGATGTAAATTTTATTTTAGATTTTGAACAGCTCCTATCACAATTGAGCAATGAAAAAAAAACTGATAAAGGAATATGATTGATTACATTTAATTAGGCTGAATTGAGCTCTACACTTACTTCGACCATTCATCAAGATCCTCAATATTTGGTAAAATCTTATACTTATGCTTTCCTTGCAGTTCCTGTAGTTTATCAGCGCTGCACATATGTCCAATTGCATAGTTACACTCGCTTACTTCAATCAGTTTACTCGTCTCTTGATCTGCGCATTATTAGGTTCAGAGGAGAACTCATTAAAAATAAAATTTAGAGTTATTGGATAATAAAACTTGAAAATCATTGACTCGATCACAAACAAATAACATGAGCTTACTAGTATGCATTGGGTTGAAAAGAACTGGAACAGCTCCGGTAGCAACAACTCCTAGTCTAGCTGGCAGATAGTTGAGATGGTTGAGTCCCACAATGGCAACATGATCACCATGTCCCATTCCTGCAGCTTTGAACTTGTTGGCCATTCTTCCAATTTGGGCTGCAAGCTCAGATCCCTTGACATCTTGACGTGTCAGACCACAAGTCTGAATATTTTGTTTGTAAGTTTAAATTACTTTCTAATCGGTGCAATCAGTTTAATTCAATTTAATGAATATAGATTAAAATGGCTTGCTGAATGTTGGTACAGCATTGATATCAGATTAGACATGGAGACAATCAATTATTATAACAGACACACATAAATTACTGACCAACAAAACTGTATCAAGTTGAGTGTCTATACTGTTGAGGATATTTTGATGCATTGGAAGAGCAGGATAAACAAGTTTGTCTGGACAAGTGATGATTCTAGCTGCTTTAGCTGCAGAGGACAAGCATCGTTTCAGGACAACAGCCATTATATCTTGGCTAATGTAAATAATGTATTAACACTTTATATCTGAACATGTTTGATAGGTGATGCCCGGTTTGCAAAACTAATTTTAGATAATCACGATGATTGTGATGAATAAAAGTTTAAATTCTTGATTTCTACATGAAATTCATTGATAAAATATTGCATATTCCATTGTAAAAAAAATATATGGGTACTGTATTGTGATGAAGATACATAATCAGTAGATCTACGATACTTCAGAACTAAATGTTAAAAATCAGTCATGCATTAAACTTTCCAATAAATTATTTTAAAAAGGATTTGTTTTTCACCTAAGTTCACTATACTACCTAAGTTCACTGTACCAAAACTAGAAAATTGTTAACTAACTTCTAATAGTTATATCTGAATGCAGTCAATAATTTATAAAAATACATTATAAATATGACTTATGAATTCATTCATCTGTAAACTGAGGTATTCGCTTCTGCCTGAAGGCACTCATGCCTCTTTTTGGTCTTTAGTTGCAAAGGAAGCATAGAACAGTCGCTTTTCGTAGTCCAAACCAAGTTGCAGTGAAGTTTCATACGCAGCATTGACAGCTTCTTTATTCAAAGCAACAGCAATCTTCGAAAATGAAGCAATCTTTTGTGCAGTTTCCACAGCCTTGTCAACAAGTTCATCTACAGGAAAAATTTGAGCAGCAAGTCCTATCTGCTTAGCCTCTTGTGCATCAATGAAGTTGCCTGTCAGACACATTTCCATAGCCTTGCTTTTCCCAACAGATCGAGTGAGCCTCTGTGTACCCCCAGCTCCAGGCAATACACCCAAAGTAATTTCTGGTTGACCAAACTTTGCTTTCTCGCCAGCATAGATAAAGTCACACATCATTGCAAGCTCGCAACCACCTCCAAGGGCAAAACCGTTGACAGCAGCAATAATCGGCTTTTTAGCTTTAGTGACATTCTCCAAGTCATTGAATAATCCTCCCATGTAAGTATCAGCAAAAGAAAGGGACTCCATCATCTTAATGTCAGCTCCAGCAGCAAATGCCCTTGAGGAACCAGTGAGGACAATGGCTCCAATGTCACTGTCAGCATTGGCATCAAGTACAGCAGCGTTGAGATCTGTAATGACTTGCTGGTTGATAGAATTAAGAGCCTTTGGTCTGTTCAGTGAAATAAGAGCTACTTTTTCACGTTTTTCAACAAGAACAGTCTCATATGCTGATGCATCACAATTGAGAAATCGAAGACCACCGAGGTTTGAAAGGCCTCTTCTTGAAAAGACTTTTCCTATCATTTCCACCTGCTGGTATTTCATAGTTATTAATAATAAATGGTTGCATATTGTTGGGGGGGGGGGGGGGGGGGGGGGGGGGTTGTCAACATGTAATGTTATACCACTGAGAAAAAAGAGCAAAACAGCAGAGTCAATTGATGTACATGGGTGATCAACAATCATTAAATTAAGTTTACTCATTTAACATAATAATTTTAGCTAGCAAATCAAGGTTCTTGGGATGAAATTGAATTGACAAGTACGACCCCTTAAAGGCATAGTCTATAGATGAAGGGGCCGTAGACTCTGGTGGCTTTGGTCTGCACAACCCTCTAGAGATCTGGAGAAGCTGGATTACCTCAGTGAGTTCTTGGGAAGTAGAAATTGTTGATGTTTGAAACAGAAACTACGAAATTCATATATTATATCGCTACTTGTTAACCAATTGGAATCACATATTTACCACGTTTTCGACATTTTTCAGTGGTGATCGACATTAATAACTCTACCGGTCGATCACCCAGGTAATCCAATTTATTAAAATGAGGTGGTAAAAAGTCTACTGAGTGCTAAGCTACATGTACAGCTTCGTTGTAGCGCTTACTGTAATGAAAATAAAGCAATGTACACAATTACAAATTAGGAACTTAAAAGACAGTGTAATTGTAAATTATGACAATTTACCGAAGTATTTACTAAGTGACAGTTCACAGTGAATGGGTGAACGATAATTCACGTTTGAAGTTTTATTTATTGCATGGCGCACATTTTCTTTAAAAAAAACAGTTTCAGACAATACAACGCTCGATTTTAAAGTAATAATTTGCCATAATGCGCGGCGCGAGGTTTTTAAAATATTGTAATTGTTTGTTCCATTGTTTATTTATCATTGTAATGATAATCAAAATTAAACTAATTGTTTTTTACTTGGTGATCGTTTTGTGTGAAAGTGTATTTCCTAATTTGATAGAATGCCATGCTGTGACCTTCAATTTTGGATCTGAATCATATCATGAATATTGAATATACGCGCGCGCAGCTGGCTGCGTGGGCCGTACATGGCGCATGTAGCATGATATGAAATTATTTTGTATTTGTGACTCCGTATTTGTTCAGCACGTGGTCTAGTATCTCAGTACATGCCGTCAAATCATATTATTCGTTTCATAATGCAAGTCTAGTGGCATTTGTTTCACCCTATAATGTATAAAACACCTAGCTAACTTCAAACTGAAGGTCCAATTTAGAATCATTCATGATCAGTTTTTGATTCTTGAAGCGTATCCATATATTCCACTTATTTTAATGATGAAGAACCTTAACACTAAATCACGATACTTATGTCTTAACGGGTGATACTCGTAAAATATCTGTTCCATATATTGTACGGGCGAAATAGTTGGTCGCGCGCAGTACGCCGCGCTTTTGGTGTTGACCATTGGCGGCAGGTACTTTTTGTCCTATTACGTCACGGCGCACTACTGCAAATACATTACACACTGATATAAGGCTTCTCTCACAGTTTATGTTAGAAATCAAACCTAATTAGATCATCGATCAGTTAGTGATATCAACAAAGAAAACAAAATATTGAAACAACGGATTATAATATACAATGGTTATCTTTCTAAATCCAGTGCAGTGAGTATACTAATACAGTGTATCATTATGAACTGGAAATATCATCTTAATTTCTTTGATAGGAGCAACATCTATTAATTGTTTCGATATTATTATTAAGACTCAATCTTCAAGTTCAAGCCTTCGGCATCATTGTAAGAGGATTTGTAGAAGAACATTTCGGCAGTAACTGAAAGTAATTCATTTTAATTGATCAAAGATGTTGAAACTCGGTTTATCAATATCAGATGGTTTGGGACATGATGCATTACTGATTTTACTACAAAAACTTTACCCACAATTATGACTGTTTACAATATTGAATATTAAGCCTACTGCAGTGTGACTAAATTGTATTTGTAAGCCATATATTCCAAAAATTCTAATATGTTCTCACCTATATATAGTGTATGTTTTACAGTTTAAGGAGAAGGAGACCATTAACATTACATAGAGTATAAATTATTCCCAGCAGTACATTATCTTCCAGAAATAGCCGTTTTCATGTCAGAGAGGTCCTTCGCCGCACTATCAGTATCACACAATGGCAGGTCAGTCCATCAGTAACTGAAAATAAAACAAATTACGTCAGTGTTGCTATTAAGAGCAAATATTTAGATACAAACTGGTGTTATTGGGAAGGTTGGTATTCGTTCGTATTTCTGTCGATAAATGGTTACATTTTCATGTACCATTTCTCGACAAAAATGGGCAATTAGTGCGTGTACATGGTTAATGTTGAATTTTAAGTGGAATGATACGCCTATGTGCAGTGTTCACCCTACAGCGTGTAAAGGGATGTGTGTAAAGTATGATTATTTATAGATTACTGTAATAAAGTAATGACAAAGTAAGCGATCGTGTACATCTCGTTATAACATTTCGGTCATGAAGTTGAAATATTACAACAATATATTATTTTATTTGCCCACTTCTCTTGGAGAGAATTTAGGTAAGGTACGTGTGCTAATTGTACATAATTTTGATAGGAGCTTTAACGAAAATCTAATACCAAATTGGTCGCCAAATTGAATATGGGATACCCAGGAGGAATAAGAGGATTATTGGGACAAAAGTGGAACATTTGTTACATCGGTTCTAGACATGAAGTGATTCCCAAACTTGGTTTAAGTATTCCTTTAAGTCATTATATGTGGTTGCGGCGGTATAGTTCAAAATCTGAAACAATATGGTCAAGATTGCTTGACTGATTTTGTAAGCTAAAAGATTGTCATTTGCATCGATAATTTTATCAAATCATTATAATTTTACCGGATCTGACGAGAATTCTGTTTAGTTTGAACAGGATATTTGACCACTGCCTCCCTTGCAAACCACATCTTTGTTTTGGGTACCGCTCTTGAGTTTTGGTTCTGTTGAAAATCTTATCCTGCAAGTAGTTGACTTATAAGTCTACAAATTTGCACAGAAATAAAATAACCTATTTCACAACCAAGTTGCATTCAAGTTAACAATAAATGACATTAGAAAATGATTTCACGATTTAATTTCATTAGAAACTGAGTCTATTAAAAAAATTCGAAAATTTCATCGAAACATATAATAGTAAACGACTAAATTAGCACTGTCTTACTTAGAGGGGTATGCGGAAATTATGATAAATTTACTTTGTGAGAATCTGAGATAACAAGATCAGAGTAGGTCACCTTCGGGTTTTATCTTACGTGATTGTGATCCAGTTCCAGGGGAAGTGTTGTCCGTAAACGAGCTTCAGCGAAAAAGCAAAGGGGAGAATAACAGTATAACTCCTCTATCATATTCTAGTAAAATGTAGCAGTGCTGATTTGTTCGTCGTCTTCTGCAGGATGGTACTCTAGCGCTTTTCTAAGATCTGTCCGACTCTGCCCAAACACCTGGATAAATATATTGAATTAGTGAGATGTATCAATTTAATTACGTTTAAATAATTTAACTTTAAGTTTACAATGACACAAATGTATAACCTACCAACAGAGAAGAAGACAGTTTTGAAGAACCTTGATTGATGAGATAGTTAAAGTTAAGAAAGAGTAGTATTATAGCACGGGGTTTTAATTCACCTGTTGGATTTTTCCCTCCTCTATCATATTCTAGTCAAATGTAGCAGTGCTTATTATTAATAAATATGTTCACCATCTTCTGCAGGATGGTACCCTAGCGATTTTCTAAAATCTGTCCGACTCTGCCCAAACATCTGGATAAATATATTGAATTAGTGAGATGTATCAATTTAATTACGTTTAAATAATTTAACTTTTAGTTTACAATGACACAAATGTTTAACCTACCAACGTCCAACAGAGAAGAAGACAGTTTTTACCTGTTGTAATATAAATTAAAAACTTATCAGTAGAAAATGATATTTAAAAATCACTTGCTTACATTCTCCATTCTCCATAACGAAAACTTAACTCTGCTTGTTCTCGTTAAAAGTTAACAGTACTTCATCTTGCACTAGATCAGTCCTGGCTAACGAAATTTTGAAGAGTATTAGTTCATGATAATCTCACTGAGTTAAATATTTACCGTATTTATACCGTTAAAAGCACACATTTTAAGGTTACTAAGTAACGACAAAAACCAGTAAAGAGGACTTATTCACACGGATACTAAATACTCAAGTACTAATTAACAGCAAATTTGTTAAAAATATATATTTTATTTTAAAAGGAGGTTATCATACATTTAAAGAGTGTACACCGTCAGATCATTTTCCGATTGTATGTAGGATTTTTACTCCTGTACTGCAGTGTACAAAGGCGATGAAATCAAGGGTTCTGTAATCTATTGTCTATAAGTCTGATTTAAACTAATTAACTAAGATATTTAAAGATGAAACTGTCCGGGACCTGGAGACGATCAATTTAGTTCCAAAATGGCGTGTTCAGTCAGCTAACCAAAAACATTATTAACACTAGACTACAACTATGTCACGTCATTAATAGCCAATGATAATTGCACTTTCTACGGATTCGATTATACAATTATAGCGATACTGGGTTAGAAAGACGCGTGATATCTCTTGGATTATCACCATGGTAACTGGGAGGTGTTCAGACTCAAAAGATTTACTTTACAAACTGAGGTCTATGTTTTAATATCCATGTTCAACGGATAATTGAAGCTTAAATAGTAGGTATGATAAAATGTAATATTTACACAAATGGGTTCTTGTTATTATAAGCAAATCATTCAGTACACACTGAGTGTAAACGGATGTTTGGGAATTGGGAGTTGGGACACACCTTAGAAACACTTAATAGCTAATCGTAGTAGCCTTACGTTTAATACCCGATATATAACTGGTGTCCCTCACGTTATTATATCAGGTCTGTTACTATGGAAACGTCCGAGGGGCTAGCTAAAGAATTCAACTTGGAAGTTTAGTCACAGTTCAATAAAAATTACTGCCACTAAAAGTAAA